CCAGAACCCAAAACCGCAAACACTGCAGCACAGCAAGGAAGCAAACAACCCTAATATCAGGTGTGTCTACACACCACAAATAAAAGGAAATCATATAAGACAGCTAAGGACCCTTCTTCGATATAGCAGGCCTCCGGGCAGCTGAAAGAGGATCAAATTTGGAATTTTTCTTGGACAACTGGCATTGGCATTGGCATTTGACCATGTGTCCTTCCCCGGTCGGTAACTCCCCAATCCTCGTAGAAGGAGATTACTCTGTTCAAAAAATTATTGTAGTTTTTCCGCCACTATCTTCTCCAGCACTTTACCAAAAGTGTTTTGTAGGGTTATGATCCTTAAGCCCCCGAGTATTGAATGATTCTTGCCAGGCTTAGAAAGTGGAATCAGGTAGCTGTGCATCCACTCTTGTGGGACTGAAGCTGTCCTAATGCTCTGGTTGAAGCAAGCAGTCATCTCCAACAGGTCTGCATCACTGTTCCCTCCAATTTAAATCGAGAGCGAGCGACAGAGAGAGAGAGAGAGAGAGAGAGAGAGAGAGAGAGAGAGAGAGAGAGAGAGAGAGAGAGAGAGAGAGATTGAAACGTGTGGAAACTGGACAGAAATTAGGACGTTCCGAGAATTTTGGAAGCAACGTGTCCGCATCACTGCTAAGAATACGAGAATTTGGATTAAAGATCAGCACAACCAAGCATGAGAAACACACCGGACAAGTCTTGTCAACCAGCATAGGACTGGCACTATTAAGCGCGCGACGCTGATGAATATGTTGGGAGGAGAATCTGAGCACCTATGGATGTGTCCGGAGTGCTGTGAAGATAATCCAGCTCATAACTCATACATCTGTATGCCTTTTTTTTTTAAATCAAGGATTTGTCGTATGCAAATTTATTTCATAAAATATTTGTATTGTTTAATACACGCTGGATCCACTGTATCAGTACATACATCATTGAATGCGTTAATCCTCAGTAGTATTGCGTCATGTGTTCTTTGATCTCTGCTCGCTTCTTGTCCTTCCAAATATTATTCTTGTTTTGTTTTGTAATATCAAAACTCTATATCGACATTTTCGTCTTGTATTGTATTGTTTAATCCACTCTGCAGTTTAAAAAAAAAATAACGTCTATGTTTAACATCAACGTAATCAACGACTTTTTTCGTTTCAGTATAAACAATAAACATAGTTTTTAACCAACAGGAGTAAAAAATGGCTGCGCCCTATTCAGCAAGAAGGCTTCGTGTTCTCCAAAGGCGACTTTACTTTCAGTTGCACAAAAGATACTATGCACAATCTAATCCATGGAAAGATACATCGTCAGTTGCAGAAGTTGAAGTCAACTTGGGGGAACAGTAAGTTTGACTGGAAACAATTTAGGGATATTGATAAATAAATAATAATAATTAATAACGAAAACTGCTTGGCTTAAAAATTAAAAAAAAAAATTGACATCACAATCTCCGTCTTGTCTTATGTTTTAGTTAGTGACTTAGTCTGTTTTGTTTTTAGTGTTTGAAATGTTTGTACTTTGTAGTCTGTTATTTTAACAGATCAGTAAAGTATATTTAATAAAAAATTCAACGAAGACCAGTTTAAGTTTACAACTTTAATTTTAACAGAAGGAAAATGAAAATTCACAAACATTAACTGTTTTAGTCAAATGTTCAAAATGCCCTTTACACCAATAAAACAAGCACAGTTAGATAGCTGTAAACAATCTCTTTCCAACGGTACCTCGTTTAGGCTTGTATGTCATTTCTGAGCTGAGATATGTAGGTTTTTGTGGAGATGAGATGTAAAAATAAAAACAGCTGCTAAAACTGGTCTCCCAGAAACAAGAAGTTTTTTCTGCGCAACCAACAAACTGCGCAACTTTCGTTTTGGCTTTGTTTGCATTGGACAAGATGGCAGACAATGAGACTGGCTGAGCCAGCGATTGTCTGAAAAATGTCACTGTACATCTACTTAGCCACATACCAGAAAGAAATTTTATACACAAATGTAAAATTGGACGGAGAATTCAATTATAACTAGCATTACCAGGACGAGTAACAGTTAAAGCCTAAAGCCAACCCTGAATACTTATCGCTATTTTCAATCAAACTGATGTAACAGAAAAACAGAGGACGTCCGGCTGTCGTAGACAGGCGCTGTTAATCGGGTTCCTTCCCGCTGTTTTCAGCTATTTAGAGTGGGTTAAAATCACACCAATCGCAAAATTTCATGAGAGATTAGGACCCATCCCGAAACCCCAGCCGACATTTGCGAAACAAGTTTCGAACGGTTTCCATGGTAACGGAAATTGCAAAAGATCGTCATATTTGGGAGAAGTCCAGTGGTGCCACTCCCACAAGCATCAGATTGTCGGCCATTTTTTTGAAATCCTACGTCAAAATTGTCACATCTAACCCTACCCCTAATCCTAACCCTAACGCTGCTAACCCTAACCCAAACCCTACGCCACCGTACGTATGATGACTACGCAACCGTATGAATGATGATAGGTAAGTATGTCATTTGATTCGTGACTTTTCCACTCCGTGTTTGCAATGCAGCCAAGGGAGAGAACTCCCACTAAGCCGATCGGCGGCTTTCCAGCTACCGGTCTGTAGTGAAAGGAGAGCCGATTAGGTCATTAGGATTAGTGATAGTGGTGGTAGACTAGAAGTAGGCAACCTTGGCTTTAGCCCATACTATATACCAAAGGGATATAGGAGGTCTTTCGAGTTGCACCGCTGGTTTTGCAAGCAGCATCACCATCTGCTGTGAACTACAACTGTTAAATTAAATGCTAGTGTGGCAGTATGTGGCTAATAATAATGACACAAAAACCTTGATTTAGTTGATATATACTATATGATATAGTATATCATTCTACTGGTTTAATTTTCTCTCAAACATCTGTCTGTAACATGCTGCATCTGGCTTCTTTCAAACACAGCTGTGACAGTTTGTTTGTTCACTGTCTGCCTCTAGAGGAGTCAGTCTGCAGCTGATCTCTCCCTGTCTGCGTCAGTGTTGATATCTTTCAGGTCCTGTTTACATATGTCCTTATACATAGCATTGACCTTTCTGCAGATCTTATCCATGTTAACAGTTTACCATGCAGGAGATCCTTCAAAATGTGGTTATCCTCCATGCGAGAGACATGTCCCAACCAACACAAACATTTTTGCTTAAGTAGAAAGTAGTGGTGGCATAAATGCTCTTTTGAGTACACACTTGTTGGGGACAATCTCACTATGATATACCAATAATGCGTCTCTTACAGCGCACATGGAAAGTATTCAGTATGTTTTCCTTAAGGAGCATACAGTGTCCATATTTCACTGCCGTACAGTATCTTGCTCAGGGCACTAGTTTTATAAATTTATAATTTTGTTTGTTTAAGGTAGTAGTCTAATTAAATTTTAAGTAAACAAATTATCAAATTAAAGAAATAAAAATGAATGTTTAAGTCAGTAGCTGACATAATTAAATCTAACAAAGTCTTTTTTCAAGTTTCAGTGCCAATTATAAGCAGAAATGGGCTATCTTCCAAATAACAGTCCCAAATTATCGAGGCCGAAAATATACCCTAACAGGGTCTCAGTCACATGTCAATTGCGGACTTCCGGCGAGTTAAATTGCTCACTTCCGGCGACTACCACCACCGCCGAGAGTATCTCCCACGCCGCTATGTGCTGCGTTGATGGGGCTAAACTAGATGGCTGGGACTCAGGAGATGCGGTAGCTGCTGCTCGTCCCAGCCATATAGTTTAGCCCCACTCCAAGGTCATTTAAAAAAAAAAAAAAAAATCCGGCCCTCATCAGGTACTGAACCCATGACCTTCCAATCTGTAGGTGAGCTTCTAGCTGCTAGATCATGGCGGTTCCCATCCAGTATGTTTTAAATGATACAAATATTTTGAAAACTTCCCTAACACTATTTGTCTCAGGTAATGATCATATTAAATTACTTCTTCATGTTTCCAAACACCATGAATGAATTACACTTAACCGAATAGTTGAATGTTGAATGAAAAATCGACATCACAGCACTCGGGACGCTCCCATAAGCGCTCCATCCCCATCTTCAGCAGCAAGCACAGAGTTAAAATTCCGTTGGTACCAGTAACAGTCTGATTGTATATCCGTCTCGCCCCTCCCCCGAGTTTTGAGCGTTGGCCAGATCCCCTTGTAACTCCTCGCAGTGCCATTCTCCTCAGACCGTAATGATCTGTCTGTTCCTCGGCACTGTTCACTCGCTAAAGGGCCCTCACAACATCCAGCTTGTCATATATCAGTTCACCACCAAGTTGTGCAGAACCGGCCAGCCTATTCGCCTGCTCATTTCCCAACACACCATGTTCCTCGGCACTGTTCACTCGCTCCCAAAGGGCCCTCACAACATCCATTCACCACCAAGTGGTGCAGAACCCGCCAGTCTATCCGCCTGCTTATTTCCCAACACACCGGTGTGACCTGGAGAAAATATCCAAAGGATGTTAACTACCCGGGACCTCTGAAGCGATGCTTGCCACTCTGCACGGAGCATGCCTGTCTCCACCTTTCTCAGCATGCTCTGTGAGTCAGTTACAATGACGACGTGTGTACAGTTGATTCTCAAGCCAACGGAAGGCAACAGTGACTGCCTTCACCTCCGTTCTCAGACTGTGATATCATATGCCAGGCTTTGTTGCGCCAAGCGACGTCCATTCGCCTTCACTATGAACCCCCATGCACTTTGTCTGCCCCTCACCACAGAGCCATCTGTATATACAGTCACATCACTTGGGCGGGAATTGTCATGAATCATTTGTTGAACTTCTGATTCTGCAGCACTAGCTGGCCAGTATAACTGGATAGTGAGCTGGGGAATCCTTAAGTTAAGACATAGAAAATATTTTGTTGAAGGACTAAAAAATCAATAACATGATATATTGTACTGTTTTCATCTTATTAATTTTTGTGAAGCATGTTGACAGTAGCTAATTTTTTTTAAATTTTCAATAAAAATTAGAAACCTCAAGTTCAGAACAGGACAGTTGGCAAGATTTGCAGATGGTGCAGCAGTGGCTGAGGTTAGTGGTGCTTTCTGTTGGAATATGTAATAGAAGTTATTTAGTGTATGTTCCTTCTCACAGTTTGGTAGATTTTATTAAACATCTGCACCTGTGGGCTGAAGGACACAGTTTGAAATCAAATCCACAACCTTTAGAGTATGAGGCAGATGGTTTAACCACTTCATTACGGAATATAATCCATACCAAACTCTCCCCTTTCCTTACGTGGTAGCACAGCACATGCCATGGGCAGATGTCAGTCCTGGGCATCACAGCCACAACACCAAGTCCTACTCACGAAACAATCATGGTACATTTGTTCTGAGCTGCTTGTCCTTTACAGGTTGTTGAAGAACCAACCCCAGCAGTTGTTGACTATTTGTGATTTCACTGTACAATTTTGCGTTTTGTAGTTTGCTGTTGTTTTCTGAATGGTGAACTCTCAATACCATTGTTCAGACCAGCACAAGGCGGTCTGCTGCTGAGATTGAACCCGGGGCCACGGAATTATGAAGCGCATTCACTTCGCTTTAGACACCAGCTATTTTAATGTTCTTGCTGTTTTCTTCAAGTATTTTGGTTCTTTTCAAACATTTGCAGACATCTTAATTGAAAGTGTCAACAGTTGATAACCTCGTGCATCTTAACTGAGATTAATTAATTAATGCAAATCTAAAGTTTCCTGTTTCAAAGACTAATTGACTGTTGTTATATTTGCAGCTAGGAGACACAACTGTCCTTGTGACAGCTGTTTGTCAGAAGCAGTCAGGATCTCAGAGTTTCCTACCTCTCACAGTAAGTGCTTTGTGTGTATAAAGAACTCACAATACAGGCATACCTTGTGTTAAAGAATTTCACTGTAGATTGCTTAGCATATATAGCATTATGTTGTTTTATATGAAGAAGAAAGGTAGAGGGAGACCAAGAGAGCAAGAATACTTCAAAGTTTGGCATCAGTGAACGGAATAACATCTGCATGAGAAGTATACTCCTTCTGTGATCCTTCTGTTAGAAAACTTATATCAGGGGGTGGATAGCCTTAATGAAAGCTGTCTTGCAGTCCATATCTCTTTGTCTACCGTACAGATTTGTCTTCCTTGTGATTGGAACAGGCCAGATTGTGTCTCTGCTGGCAGAATACAGTTGACAGTGTTGGAGCACACGCTCAGTATTTTCTAGTGCCAAGCTGCAGGGTCATGTCTCTGTGTTTCCTACATTGAACAGTTTGAACATATATTGAAGAAGTCTGCTGTGCCCTATCCATAGTCTGAATATAACACATTGTCCCTCTCTAAAGGCGCATTGAAGCAAGTCTTGAGAAAATCTGGTGTCTGTATCCAGCCCCCTTCACAGAAGACAGTGGACATACATTATCACCAAGATCACTGAGCATAGAATATATGAGGAAAGTGATTTTTTTCTCACCAGCAAAGGAAATAAGAATCATTAAAGGTTTAAATGATGAAACTGCACTGTTTCTATACTTCTGTTCTCCTCTTCTAGTTTTCATTCCTGATTGGAACAGGGGCCCTCAGCCATCTCACACCACACCCTGTGCAGACTTATTCAGTGTTAGTTGCATTGTTAAGCTTATGTTTTTTTATTTAGGATGATGGATCCAGTCTCTTACCATCCATCCATAATCACATTTTATGACATGCATGGTAGGCTAGTTTAACTGTTTGATGCCTTCTTTATAGATCCCAGCAACATCAGGGTGTCTGTCTCCATGGGCTGTATAATAATTTCTTCTATAATTTTGAGTTCAATAGTAAATGATAACGGAGTTGATGTTTGGCAAATGATATTTTATTACACTCTGATAACTGTATATTCTCCATGGTGAAATGGTGAGGTCATTTGCCTCATGCTAATTTTTGGACTTTTGTTTGTTTCAGAAGTGAAAGTTTGTTTAGGTGATCCACAAGGGGATATTGTTGAAGCTGAGGAGTTTTTTTCTATGTGTAACTAATTGATGATACTGCTGTGGGAAGGGAGGCAGAGAAATATGGGATAAAACTCAGTGCAATAGAATCGATCTTTCTGCTTTTTAACAGTGTTTACAAAAATTGCAGATTGCAGTATTTTTGATGAAATTTCGTTTCTCGGATGTCTAATCCAGGTTACAGAAAACAGTTATCAGTTTGAGCTTGTTAACATCTCCATAGTTTGTCTTCAAAAGGTGCTGGTCTAGGATAAATTCTATAGTTTGATAAGTGAATTTGTTTCATACATTAGGTGGATTATCGTCAGAAAGCTGCAGCTGCTGGAAGGATCCCAACAAACTTCCTCAGACGTGAACTTGGCCCTACAGAGAAAGAAATTTTGACCAGTAGAATAATAGGTTTGTTTATATAATGGTATATGTACTTCTTCTGCCTTTCAGCTCCCTGCTGAGCATAAGCCCTTAAACAGCTCACTTGCAAGTACTTGGTAGACATGTTCATGTTTGGTGGGATTCTGCATCTGATGGCCTTTCACTAACTTGCCTTGTGGCAGTGTTTGCTAAGGGTCTATACAATAATTTGTTACTGTCTGACTGAAAGCCATGCAGATAACACATTTTATGTAGCAGAGGAATCTTAGTGTCTGATTCTTAGTCACTTTTGTGGAAGCTTAAGAATGGACATATTTGGAATGAGTGGATACCAAGTAGCAGCATGTGATTATTACATGGACTCATGTGGATATACTAATCAGAATGCTACTGGCACCATTATAATCGGAACTCTTCGATGGCTGCTGAAGATGGGGCACGGAGCGCTTATGGGAATGCCCCGAGTGCTGTGATGTCGGTTCTTGAATCAGATCAAATCAAATGTGGATATACTGTCTGGAATATGCAGGAGTGTGAGGAAATGAACAAGCAGACATTTTGGCCACAGAAGGAGAGTGGCAGGATTACTCATATTGGACAAGGGAGACATTCTGAAGACTGTTTATGTATGCTGATGGGTAATGCTAAGCTGTGTGAGACAGGCCATATATGGGTAATGCTAAGCTGTGTGAGACAGGCCATATATGGGTAATGCTAAGCTGTGTGAGACAGGCCATATATGGGTAATGCTAAGCTGTGTGAGACAGGCCATATATGGGTAATGCTAAGCTGTGTGAGACAGGCCATATATGGGTAATGCTAAGCTGTGGGAGACAGGCCATATATTGGTAATGCTAAGCTGTGTGAGACAGGCCATATATGGGTAATGCTAAGCTGTGGGAGACAGGCCATATATTGGTAATGCTAAGCTGTGTGAGACAGCCATATATTGGTAATGCTAAATATCACACAAAATGGGACTAGAAAGCTTAACAGAGGAAATACATCTAAGGTGATGACGTAAATAGATGGTGACTGCAGTCATGCAGAACAGGCGGACAGATTGGCTGGCTGGCTGCAACTTGAAGGAATAATACTGCATGATAAGGCAGATGTGGTTAAGGTCTTATGGAAGCACATGTATAATTTGGAACAGAAAATTGATCTTCACAATCTGGTGAGAGATGCAGCGAGGAGTAATGAGGGGATCTGGCTGATACTCAATGCTCAGAGGAAAGGCAAGAAGGACTGCTACCGGTATTGGAACTCTTTGCTGGCTGCTGAAAATGGAGATGAAGCACTTATGTTAATGCCCCTAGTTCTGTGATGTTTGTTCTTGAATTAGCTCAACTCAGTAATCAGTAAAGGCAAGTGGCAATAGTATTGACTACATCACCCATTGAGCACTGATTGGTCTTAAGCAGTAGACTTAACACTGTATGCCTAATATGTTGCATGGCATGCACCAGGCTTTTACCTGCATTCTCTAATTGGTTTTATTAGCCAAAACTACCATGTTGTATTTAAAAAAAATATTGTTTTTGGTTATCAATTATGCTAACCTGTCTTATTCTATGAATTTGTTTATGTATTAGTTATGCAATGGGAGTTCCCTTGATTTAGCAGCTAGATACTTGCCTGCGGATCTGAAAGTTGGGGGTGTGAGTCTGAACTGAAGCATCCTTTTTTTTATTTTAATGACCTTGGCTCCCAGGTCGACCCAGCATTGAAGCCCTAGAATAACAGTTTTCAACCTGTTTGTTGAACAACCCTGTCAAAGGGGTCACCTAAGACTATCATAAAACACATGTTCATTGAAGTTATGAAGTAGCAAAGACAATAATTTTATGGTTGGGTGTCGCCACAACATGAGGAACTGTATTAAAGTGTCCCGGCATTAGGAAGGTTGAGAACCACTGCCCTAGAAGTAAAGATGGTCCTGAGAAGTAATGATGTTGACCACATCGCCCACCGAGTGCCAGTTTATCTATAAAAATATAGACCAGCACTTTACCAGCACACCTGCAGGCATAGAAAATGGTCCTTTACTTTCTATACTGTTATATATGCACATTTATACATATATACAATTACATACAGTCTGCCAAGAATGTGTATACACTTTAACAAAAGAAAAACCTATATGTAAGTTGTAAAACAAAATTTATAGACATGATGGGAGGTATACAAACTTTTTAGCACAGTCTCAAGATAAATCTTTGAACCTATCAGAGTTGCAAATAGCAGAAAATGGAGAGTAAGAAGCAGCAATGAAATTCTTAATCTGTTCAAATCACCACTAATTACTTTTGTCAGGAGGACCCCGCACCCTCTTTCCCCCCTCCAGGATTGCAGTCTGTAGGATTCATCATCATCATCAAGTGCCTTGCAGACTGGCCTGGGTGATCATTGTCTTTCTACATCTGCGAGCCACAGCTGCATGTACTAGTTCATGTTTTGACACCCCTCCATGCCATGACAAAAGGCTGTCAAGAATCTTCTTGCGCTGTCTTTCTCCGTCTCTCCTTCAACAGATCTTTCCAGTGGTTAAAACATGTTCCATTTTCCCTCTGCTCATAACATGACCAAAAAAATGATGACTGTCTCTTTCTGATGTTTGTGATAAGTAGTTTTCAAGCACCGGCCTCTTTCAAAACATCTGGGTTGCTCTTCTGTTGGATTAACATCTCAGAAACCAGTACAAATCACAAAAACCCTATTCAGGTGTATAGCCTTATAGCACAGTTATATTGAGACACCACAAAATGGTTACAAATAATCCATAGTCCAGTGTGGATAGGTGTTGACTAGCACAGTCATGAGGACTCCTAGACTGCAGTAGTTTTGGCATATAGAAAAAACCGTATGAAAAAATAACTTGAAATGGAGAAGTCTATGAGGTATACTTAAAAAAAAAGTGATGAAAAAATAATATACAAGCAGACCTTCAAACACTTTGAGTCACCAGTTGGAAAATGAAAACCAGTTACATATGTTAATAAAGATGTGTGTTTTCTGCAGCAGTGAATTTCGGGATCTGATTGCTTCTGAAGAAGATAGGATGAATACAAGTTACCTTTTACACATACAATTACCTGGGTGCTTAGAGTGGTTACCATTCTTGCCCTGACACTTCCTACTGCAATGAACAATTGCTTGAAATCAAGTATTATGAATATATTTTCTTTTCCATTACAGATCGGTCAGTTAGACCTCTGTTCCCACCTGGTTTCTGTTACAATACACAGGTTTGTATGGCAGTGTATTTTTACTTTACGCATGTAGCATTTCTGTTTAGTTGCCTTTCCTTGCTTCATCGAGTAAACTGACCTCACACAAAGTTTGCATAAAGGTATCTCAAAATAGATATGCTGTCGGGGTGGGAAATGTTAGGCTTTTATTTTTTAGGCCACAGCATATGTGGCTTGTACTTTCTTCATAGATTTTTCTTTAAAGGTGATTTTGGAAATTGTGAAGGAGCTTGAGTTTCCTAATTGCCTTGAAAATGTAGCTGCCAGTAGGACCTCTTAAACTAGACAAGTTAAAGGGCGGAGAGCAGAGTAAAAAAAGACCCTGTTCCTTCAGGTTGGAGGGGAAGGGGGGGGGGGGGGGTGGCCAGGTGTAGACAACCCCACAAACATAAAACTTCCTGTTATGAACACATATATGAGAATCAGATGGAACTTGCCAGCCTGGAACAGCAATCGTGTAGGACAAGGAACCATAATCGTCATTGTCCAGTGGATAGATCTTGGTTGACCATGGACTAAGGAAGCTCATTCTAACAGAAAAGCACACTAAAATCTGAGGGGCAGATAGCCCAGAATGATGCAACTGTCGAGCCTGAAAACTATGGAACCACGCAACTCCTCAATATATGGCCACAGCATATGAGATTGTGTAGTCAGTTATCTTTCTCATAGCTTGTCCATTTCAGAAAATTCTTTACATTGTCTGGCTCTCAATTTTATGAGCCTAGATCAAACCTAGTCAGCATCTGTGGCTTAGGTGTCGCAAATGCACTTTGTAATGCCAAGGTGTCCAGTTCGATCCCAACTGCGGAGTTCTGTTTTGCGTTTGTTTCGACAGTGGTACCGAGAGCTGACCGTTCAGAAGCACTGGCAAACTGCTAAACATAAAATTTGCCTAGAAAAACCACAGCAGCCAAAGAATGCTGGGGCTGGTTCTGCAACATCCTGTAAAGGATAAGCAAATAACCTTTAGGTCAAACCTAGAGTCTTATGGTAGGAAACAAATCCTGCCACTTTGAGACATTGAACCCTAGCCGCTGTCTCTGCAGGCAAGTGCAAGTGTACACTTTGCCAGTTTGTTAGGTGAGAAAGTGCAGAAATAACTGAAAAGTGATCTTGACTTGCTTCACACACAAAAATTGTCACGTTAAACCAGCAAAAAAGGACAAGTGAAGTCAGAAAAGGGCCCTTTATACGCTATCGATGCATTAGACATATTTTGATAGACCGGCCAGCACTTGGAGGGTGATGCGGTTAACATCACATTGGCCACCTTTACTTCCCAGGACATTACCTGGTATCCATTTTAGGCTGGCTGTAATATAAATAACAGTACTAAAAATGTGTACACATTTTCTACTGTGGTAGACCCTAGTTTCAGTAACTAACAGAGCATTTGACTTATTTCCAGCTGGTTTGTAATCTCCTGGCTGTGGATGGAATTAATGATCCAGATGTGATTAGCATCAATGCAGGTCAGTTACTGAAATTGTTGTTTCATTGTCTGAAGTAGAAGTTAGCATCAATGCAGGTCAGTTACTGAAAGTGTTGTTTCATTGTCTGAAGTAGAAGTTAGCATCAATGCAGGTCAGTTACTGAAAGTGTTGTTTCATCGTCTGGTAGAAGTTAGCATCAATGCAGGTCAGTTACTGAAATTGTTGTTTCATCGTCTGAAGTAGAAGTTGGCATCAATGCGGGTCAGTCACTGAAAGTGTTGTTTCATCGTCTGAAGTAGAAGTTAGCATCAATGCAGGTCAGTCACTGAAAGTGTTGTTTCATCATCTGAAGTAGAAGTTAGCATCAATGCAGGTCAGTTACTGAAAGTGTTGTTTCATCGTCTGAAGTAGAAGTTAGCATCAATGCAGGTCAGTCACTGAAAGTGTTGTTTTATCGTCTGAAGTAGAAGTTAGCATCAGTGCAGGTCAGTCACTGAAAGTGTTGTTTTATCGTCTGAAGTAGAAGTTAGCATCAGTGCAGGTCAGTCACTGAAAGTGTTGTTTCATTGTCTGAAGTAGAAGTTGGCATCAATGCGGGTCAGTCACTGAAAGTGTTGTTTCATTGTCTGAAGTAGAAGTTAGCATCAATGCAGGTCAGTCACTGAAAGTGTTGTTTCATTGTCTGAAGTAGAAGTTGGCATCAATGCGGGTCAGTTACTGGAAGGGTTGTTTCATCGTCTGAAGTAGAAGTTAGCCCCAATGCAGGGCAGTTACTGAAAGTGTTGTTTCATCGTCTGAAGTAGAAGTTAACATCAATGCAGGTCAGTTACTGAAAGTGTTGTTTCATCATCTGAAGTAGAAGTTAACATCAATGCAGGTCAGTTACTGAAAGTGTTGTTTCATCGTCTGAAGTAGAAGTTAACATCAATGCAGGTCAGTTACTGAAAGTGTTGTTTCATCGTCTGAAGTAGAAGTTAGCATCAATGCAGGTCAGTTACTGAAAGTGTTGTTTCATCGTCTGAAGTAGAAGTTAGCATCAATGCAGGTCAGTTACTGAAAGTGTTGTTTCATTGTCTGAAGTAGAAGTTAGCATCAATGCAGGTCAGTTACTGAAAGTGTTGTTTCATTGTCTGAAGTAGAAGTTAGCATCAATGCAGGTCAGTTACTGAAAGTGTTGTTTCATTGTCTGAAGTAGAAGTTAACATCAATGCAGGTCAGTTACTGAAAGTGTTGTTTCATCGTCTGAAGTAGAAGTTAGCCCCAATGCAGGGCAGTTACTGAAAGTGTTGTTTCATCGTCTGAAGTAGAAGTTAGCCCCAATGCAGGGCAGTTACTGAAAGTGTTGTTTCATCGTCTGAAGTAGAAGTTAACATCAATGCAGGTCAGTTACTGAAAGTGTTGTTTCATCGTCTGAAGTAGAAGTTAACATCAATGCAGGTCAGTTACTGAAAGTGTTGTTTCATCGTCTGAAGTAGAAGTTAACATCAATGCAGGTCAGTTACTGAAAGTGTTGTTTCATCGTCTGAAGTAGAAGTTAACATCAATGCAGGTCAGTTACTGAAAGTGTTGTTTCATCGTCTGAAGTAGAAGTTAACATCAATGCAGGTCAGTTACTGAAAGTGTTGTTTCATCGTCTGAAGTAGAAGTTAACATCAATGCAGGTCAGTTACTGAAAGTGTTGTTTCATCGTCTGAAGTAGAAGTTAACATCAATGCAGGTCAGTTACTGAAAGTGTTGTTTCATCGTCTGAAGTAGAAGTTAACATCAATGCAGGTCAGTTACTGAAAGTGTTGTTTCATCGTCTGAAGTAGAAGTTAACATCAATGCAGGTCAGTTACTGAAAGTGTTGTTTCATTGTCTGAAGTAGAAGTTAACATCAATGCAGGTCAGTCACTGAAAGTGTTGTTTCATCGTCTGAAGTAGAAGTTAGCATCAATGCAGGTCAGTTACTGAAAGTGTTGTTTCATCGTCTGAAGTAGAAGTTAGCCCCAATGCAGGGCAGTTACTGAAAGTGTTGTTTCATCGTCTGAAGTAGAAGTTAACTCATTCTTCAAAGGGGGTAAAAAATATCAAAGGATGTAACTCAAGTGGACATTAACTTTTAGTTATTGTTGCCTTACTTTGCATTAGAATATAGAACCCACAATGAAAATATCACAGTTGACCAGAAATTTTCCCCAGATATCACATCAGTACTGTTCACCGTTTGTGAGGAGTTTTATCATGGGTAGACTGATATATGTAAAGACAGACACATGGATTTTCTGTTTTAATATAGAAGAATCACTCAGTATGCATGCATAGTTTCAACTCACTTATCCAGCTTGTTGGTATAAATTGTTAAAAAAAAAAAAATTAAAATAGACCTGCAGAAGGTATACTGTCATCCTCACTTTGATGCAGAATACTTTGTAACTCTAAGGGTGCCCTAATATAACTATTATATATGGTATCTGGAATTTGCTCCTGTTTGATTCTTATTCACGAGGTGTTAATCCTATGGATAGCAACCTGGAATGGAATAACCTACTGCCATAGCCTGCAGCAATCAGTATTCAGCATATTTTTTATCGATTTTTTGTTTTTGTTTTTGGTAGGTTTTCCCACTTTTTCCTGATTTTTTTCTCTTCATGTCCACATTTTCTCCTATTTCTGGTGCTGTACTGACTTTGCTGTTGGTTGTTTAACTGGTCTCTTTGTTTTGTCTGGTGTTAAAAGACTGGTCAAAATGTTCTCAGTTGTAATTTGTTCGAGTTTTCCTTTTCTTCTGTTGAGCTTTCTAGTCATAGTTTTTGTGTGCATGTTTTACTACTTGAGATTTTGTTCGGCTTGTTAGCTTCATAAATGGTATGTATGCAGCAGGTGGCTGTTTAAAGTTGACTTGTGCACTTCCTGCATGGCTGCTGGGGGGTCCCATTTTGGACAACGAATGAACACATTTTATTTTCAAAGGGTCACAGATTGGGCACGCAGGCCCATTTTACATTTGGCCCTTCCAAACACTCATCTTTCACACATCAATTGTATTTTATGAGAGAAGAACAGACCCATTGCCCATTAACAAGCAACTTATTCAGGTGTGTTTTCTTCAGATTCACAGTGCATCTGCCTAATAGGTGAGGAACAATCAGTATATAGACAGATCAGCCAGATATGTAAAATGGATGTGCATGCAAAACTCAGGTTCTGCAACAAGATCAAAGTCCAGAAACGAACAAACAACCAGAACTTTACAGCCGGTAAATGCTGAGATAGGCAGGAAGACTTGTGCTCCAATGTTGACACAAGCTACAGTTGGGTACCAAGAAATGGCCTGGGAAAAAATATGATGATCATGATATTGACATCATCATTCACAGAGCCAGCATGAAATATGTGGCTGGCACCATATGTCAGATGAAGACAAAAGTGAGCAAAATGTTATCTTTATGTGAATACCAGTGATTCTGGCTGAATGTTCCCTAAGTAAAACCGAAACACACTAGCCTACAGTCGTGCCATGCCAAGGTTTTTCTGTCTTTGGGTCAGAACATCTTGCTAAAATGAAGGCAGACTGAAGGTACCCTTCCACCTCACAGTAGAAAAGGACGTATTAGCATTGACATTCTTGAGAATTTGATAGGTCATTTGTTGTGAACATCTAATAATGATTGTTTAATTATACATATTAGCATTGACGTTCTTGATAATTTGATAGGTCATTTGTTGTTAACAAATTATAATGTTTGTTCATTTGTATATATTAATTAGCATCAGCTGCCCTTGCTGTCTCAGATATTCCATGGAATGGACCTGTTGGTAAGTTTGTATGTTCCCTTAATCCATGTTATTTACTTGTGATTCTTGTGTCTTGGTGTCTCGAATCTAAACACAGAGCCTCTACTTCTCATTGCCAGTTGATTGGTGTTGGAATGTACAGGTAACAACAGTTATTAGTCACAGAAGTTGTTACTGTATTTGGCACATCCTGAAAACAATTGAGTAGAGATCACAAAACAGGCACTGAAAGGGGAAACATTTGGATTGAGGAAACAAGAACATTCAAGAGAAACATTAAAACAGATGTTGACCAGCAAAGCCAGAGTTGCTGCAGTAAATTCCATCCATAACAGCAACGGGATTGCACATGATATAATGGAATACAGGAATAGACTGTGAACCCTGTGTGACATATCTTTCTTTCTTTTGTCAAAATCTGCTTGTGCCGCTAGGCGTCGCAGTCTATCAGATGATCAGCAACCGAGCCAGGGCGCGCTCAGTCGCTTCATATGCCGTGATGTTATGAAGTCTCAGGTGTGACATATAATGATGGAAAAAGATTGCACATGATAGGGTAGAATAGAGGAATAGACTGTGAACCCTGTGTGACATATAATGATGGGAAAAGATTGCACATGATAGGATGGAATACAGGAATAGATTGTGAACCCTGTATGACATATAATGATGGGAAAAGATTGCACATGATAGGATGGAATACAGGAAAAGATTGTGAACCCTGTGTGACATATAATGATGGGAAAAGATTGCACATGATAGGATGGAATAGAGGAATGAAAGAATGGAATAGAGGGATAGACTGTAAACCCTGTCTGAAATAATGGCACAACAGGATGCTGATGATGATGATGGTGATATTGGTCTTGTACTGGCACAGCCTCATTGTTTTTTGTGTTTGTTTTTATGTCTAAAATAGTTCCTATCCTTGCTAGAACCAGTGTCTTCAAGCAGCCACTACTCATTGCCTACATTAAATTTTGAAAATACAGTCACATTCCATGGCAGGAATGGCATACACATGTGGTAATTATAACAGACTCTAAAGGCATGCTGAGAAAAATGAAGACAGGGATACTTTGAGCAGAGTGGCAAGCTTTACTGGAAAGGTCATGGGTAGTGAGCACACTTTGGATCTTTTCTCAAGGTCATGCCGGCGCATTGGGTAATGAACAGGCAGACAGATTGACTGGGTCTGCACCGCTGGGTGGTGAATTGATACATGACAAAGCAAATGTGGTCAAGGCCCTTTGGGAACAAGCAACAAAATTAGTAGAGGAACAAGAATATTATGGCCTGGAGAGAATGAGGCACCTGGGTATAACCAGAGGGTCTGGCCGGCTCACTACACTCAGGAAAGGCAAGAAGGTCATATAACCAGATTGTTACCGGTACCATCAGTATTGGAACTGCGCTGGCTGCTGAAGATGAGGATGGAGCACACATGAGAATGCACTGAGTGCTGTGATGTCACTTTCTGACTCAACTCAAATCATCTCCATTCCATGGCAGGGCCACTTGCTAGGCCTGAGATTAATACAATAGTACAATTGGCAGTGATTTTTGGGCCACTTGCTAGGCCTGAGATTATTACAGTACAATTGGCAGTGATTTGTGGGCCACTTGCTAGGCCTGAGATTAATGCAGTAGTACAATTGGCAGTGATTTGTGGGCCACTTGCTATGCCTGAGATTAATGCAGTAGTACAATTGGCAGTGATTTGTGGGCCACTTGCTTGGCCTGAGATTAATACAGTACAATTGGCAGTGATTTGTGGGCCACTTGCTAAGCCTGAGATTAATTCAGTAGTACAATTGGCAGTGATTTGTGGGCCACTTGCTAGGCCTGAGATTAATACAGTACAATTGGCAGTGATTTGTGGGCCACTTGCTAGGCCTGAGATTAATGTAGTACAATTGGCAGTGATTTGTGGGCCACTTGCTAGGCCTGAGATTAATACAGTACAATTGGCAGTGATTTGTGGGCTACTTTCTAGGCCTGAGATTAATGCAGTAGTACAATTGGCAGTGATTTGTGGGCCACTTGCTAGGCCTGAGATTAATGCAGTAGTACAATTGGCAGTGATTTGTGGGCCACTTGCTATGCCTGAGATTAATACAGTACAATTGGCAGTGATTTGTGGGCCACTTGCTAGGCCTGAGATTAATACAGTAGTACAATTGGCAGTGATTTGTGGGCCACTTGCTAGGCCTGAGATTAATACAGTAGTACAATTGGCAGTGATTTGTGGGCCACTTGCTAGGCCTGAGATTAATACAGTAGTACAATTGGCAGTGATTTGTGGGCCACTTGCTAGGCCTGAGATTAATACAGTAGTACAATTGGCAGTGATTTGTGGACCACTTGCTAGGCCTGAGATTAATACAGTACAATTGGCAGTGATTTGTGGGCCACTTGCTAGGCCTGAGATTAATACAGTAGTACAATTGGCAGTGATTTGTGGGCCACTTGCTAGGCCTGAGAATAATACAGTACAATTGGCAGTGATTTGTGGGCCACTTGCTAGGCCTCAGCAGGCCTCGGACTGCTAGTTGAATAGCCCTCTTTAATGGTAATGTGAGTAGGCATGTCTTCAAAAGAAAAAAAGACAAAAGTAGCTGTAAAAAATGTCTTTAAACTTTGTATAATATCAGTTTGAAAGTTAAATGATATTCTTTCTTAGTTGCATTACAAAATATAACAGTATTTTATAATTCCCTGGAACAGTCATTACAAAAATTGTTGTATTTGTATTGTAAAATGCAAACAGCTGCTGTGAGAGTGGGCATCCTAGGAGAAGATGTTGTCATCAACCCAACTCGCAGACAACTTCAGAACAGTTCCCTGAATATTGTTCTCACTGGTACTACACAAAGGAAAGTTGGTGAGTTGTTTCAACATTTACTTAGTCATTATTGAAGCCTTTAGTTTTTTTTTTCCCCTTCAAATTCTCAATTTTAGCATTGATAGAGTTGTGTTTTTAAATTTAATGAGATTGTTTTTGTTTTCACTTACTGCTCAAAGTCTCTACCATTTTGCGATTACCTTTTACACCACCCTCTGTTCCACATTGCTGAAGTAAATCACGTTTACAAAACCTTCCAGATTATTAGTGGAAAATAGACTAATTTGAACAAATCATTTTCCTAAAAGTAGTCAAATTACAAGTATTTTTCTAATAAATTATTGTGATAACTGGACTAAATTGTATTGTCTGTTATTTAAAACATCAGCAGAATAATAATATTGTAATAAATAACTGGCAAATTAAAAGAGAGCAACACATTACTTGTTATTATTGTATGTAACTGCATATTCAGATTTAAAAAAAAAAAAACTGGGAAACAATTATAATATATTACAAGACAGGCGAAAAAACATATAACATTGTGATTTACAGCCTGACTGCAATGTGCAGCTTTTGGACCAACACTTCCAAATTCAGCAGGTCCTTAAAAGATAATCTTATACAGTATGCTTGTTTATGGGCAATGGGTCTGTTCTATATTTTGCTCTTGAAATGGGACTTTGCAACCCACGTGTGAAATGATGAGATAACAATTACATTATTTTGCAGTAATGTTAGAGGGTGAAGGTGATAGAGTGAGTTTGTACAAAGTGGAAAATGCCCTGTCCAAAGCTGTGAAAGCCACCCAGGGTATCATTGAGAAGATCAAAGCATTACAGGCTGCAGTTGGGAAACCCAAGAGAGAATTTGATCCACCAAAGGAACCACCACAAGAAGTGGTTGATGCAGTTCAGAGGTGAGTCTTTTTAGATCAAAGTAGTTTATTCAAGGCTTTTTTTTTTCACTTTAGCAAGGGATCACAGAGCAAGAGACTCACTTGCCCTGACACTCTAAAAGGTTACTAAAAGCTGAGGACATAGTCTAAAGCCAAATGGATGTGGAAACCAAGGGGAAGCTGTCACGTTACTAGACACAAACCAGAGCGACTTATTATTCTACACCTTAGAACAGGACACAGTTGACATGGCGAATCAGCCATGTGCACCTGTGGACTGGCACCTGAGACAACTGATCATGTCCTCCAAGACTGTCCCAAATACAAGATATCAATGCAAAACTTTTGGCCAATGGAAACATTGGTGCAAGTCAAACTTAACGGTTCGCTGAGTGAATTACAAAAGGCAGTGAAGTTTATACTTGAGACAACATTGCAGATATAGATAATCTATTTCAGGCGAACAAATGAAGAAGAAGAAGAACATTACTGAACCAAGAAACTCATCATGAAGCCAAAAAAGATATAAGGGACACCTTAATTTTCATCAGAATATAGCCCTTGGTACTATGACAAACCCTCCTGCCTTTAGCCCTTAGTTATTGGTTCTTCAGTGTCTTTGCCATAATAATCATTTACACCACATACTTTTCATCATGTATTTGTTTTGAATAGTTGGGGGGTGGTTACCTATATTTCTGTTACCTTATGGGTTTCACTAAAAACAAAAACTGTCCCTTAGTAATAATTCAAACACTCCTGATGTGCTATGATGTCGATTCTTGATTCAACATTCAGCACTCCTGATGTGCTATGATGTTGATTCTTGATTCAACATTCAATACTCCTGATGTGCTATGATGTCGATTTTTGATTCAACATTCAACACTCCTGATATGCTATGATGTCGATTTTTGATTCAACATTCAATACTCCTGATGTGCTATGATGTCGATTTTTGATTCAACATTCAACACTCCTGATATGCTATGATGTCGATTTTTGATTCAACATTCAATACTCCTGATGTGCTATGATGTCGATTTTTGATTCAACATTCAATACTCCTGATATGCTATGATGTTGATTCTTGATTCAACATTCAACACTCCTGATGTGCTATGATGTTGATTCTTGATTCAACATTCAATACTCCTGATATGCTATGATGTTGATTCTTGATTCAACATTCAATACTCCTGATATGCTATGATGTTGATTCTTGATTCAACATTCAATACTCCTGATGTGCTATGATGTTGATTCTTGATTCAACATTCAATACTCCTGATATGCTATGATGTTGATTCTTGATTCAACATTCAATACTCCTGATATGCTATGATGTTGATTCTTGATTCAACATTCAATACTCCTGATCCAGACATTTTTGCTATAAAAGAGCACCTATCTCCAGGATGGCCCAGCTAGTTATCATACACAAATGTTTGCATTAGAAAGCCATGTTCTGTTCATATAGATATATATTATGTTTTATTTGTGTTTCAGCTTTGCCCTGAATCATGTCAGGGATATTCTTTACAATACAGAGCATGATAAGGTAAGCCTTGTTGAGTTTTTAATTCATTGTTTATGTGGTTGATGCAAACAATCTTTAGCTTGGCATATAGATCTGTAAAGTTGTGCTTTTAGTATTTCATCTTCTGCCTTTCATCTTCTTGAATGTTGAATTGAGAATCGACATCACAGCACTCAGGACACTCCCATAAGTGCTCAGTCCCCCATCTTTAGCAGCAAGCAAAGAGTTCCAATTCTGATGGTACCAGTAACCGTCTAATTGTATATCCGTCTCATCCTTCCCCTGAGTGTTGAGCGTTGGCTAGTTCCCCTGGTAATTCCTCGCAGCTCCATTCTTCTCATACCATGATGATCTATCTGCACCTCCACACTGTTTACTCGCTCCCAAAGGGCCCTCACAATATCTAACTTGTCATACATTAATTTACCACCAAGTGGTGCAGAGGCAGCCAGTCTGTCTGCCTGCTCATTTCCCAACACACCGGCATAACCTAGCGAAAATATCCAAAGGATACTAACTACCCGGGACCTCTGAAGTGATGCTTGCCACTCTGCACGAAGCATGACTGTTTTCATCTTTCTCAACATGCTTTTTGAGTCAGTTACAATCACCGCATGTGTATACAGCTGATTCTCAAGCCAATGGAAGGCAGCAAAGACTGCCTCCATCTCCCTTCTCAAACTAGCTAAGGGAGCTTTAACCTGTTTTAAATTGGATCATAATGGGTTGTACTGTATATTTTAACGGCAGCATGATGTAGCCAGTCTTATGTAGCTTACAGTGTTGCCGTGCTTCCCTGGTAACACTTGGGGGTGTTAGTAGACAGTATTTCCCAATATTCGTTGCGGGATCCCCATTTTTTAGGAGAAAAGAAATAGACTCACCACCCTAACAGGTATGTTATAATAGGCGACTGTGTCGACCATGTTTTGGATGGTAGCTCATGATGATAACAAGCCAAATAAAAGACCTAGGAAATATTTTTGCAGCATGGAATACCAAAGGCCGACTGACGATTGAGCAATGATGAGAGGTAAGCTCGTCATTTGGGAAGCAGAAATTGAGGAAGACGGTTGTCATATAGTAAATATAGTTTAATTGAGATGTGCTGGTTAATATTGAGGAGCTGCTGAGGTGTAGCAGCTAGATGTGCACCTGCGGATCGGAAGGTTATTGTTTTGTGCCTGGCGGAGCTGGACTTTTTTCAAAAATGTCCTTGTCTCCCAGGCAGGCACAGTCTTTAATGGGTACCAGGTACGGTGCTAAGAAATTAAGGTGGCCGGCGTGATGCTGATCACGTCACTTGCCAATTGGCTATAAAATATAGGTCTAGCCCTGTATGCCAAATATGCCTGAAGGCGTGGAAAAGGCTTCTTTAGATGTTTAGATGACAAGTTAGCTGGTGAAGCTTGAACGCTTAGTTAAGCCATCATGGCCATTCTGTCATGTACAAGAGTATTCCAACAGTATGTATGCAGTACCTTCTTGCACTGCTGACTACTGCAGACAGACTCAAAGTGCTGCAAGCCAGGTCATACCTCAAAGTAGCCATAGACACATAGATTCGTATAGCTTAGGGCTGCAGGCTGATAGAAGGAAAGTCTTGGGTAGCCCAAGCAGAAGACACAATTAGAGACGAGTGTAAGCTTGTAACATTGGGTGAGGAGAGGGGTGGGTCGGTGTGTCAGAGCAAAAATCAACTTCTGTAGGGGTTTTAATCACATCGGTTCAGGAATGCAAGGAGTGGTTAGCGGGTACTGCAGAATCAGGATTTTATTTAACAACTGATTCATGAAAATTCCCACCCAGCTGTTGTGATTGTCTGTACAGATGGTTCTGTGTTGACCGGCTGAAAAGGTGCATGGGGGAGGGGGGTGAACCCTCCAAGCTCTACCACAACCTGTGCCTGACTGCACCGCTCTAGTTAGGGGGATCGGACAGACCATGTCACAGCACTGAGTCATCTAATACAGTTTTTCTTAACCTGACAAAACCCTTTTTCGAACCACCTCGCCAATATACAAATTACTAATCAATGAATGATACTTCAACCAACGAAGCACTAATCATACTGAACTTTCTCTGCAGAATACCAAATTAAACTACTTGTTTCTATTGACTCTTTAAGTCTAACACATTACTATTACCTGAACCGTCGCTAACTCAAATCAGTTAGGAAAACCCTAGCTGTCGAAACAGCACGTCTCGGTCACAGTCCTCATCTCTCCACAACTCCTTAAAAACCCTTTTGCTCTCTCCATTTTGTCCAGTCCACCCTTCACTGTGTGGTCAGTGAACTCCTTGTGAATTCTGGAGTCTTCACTCATCCGTCAAGATGTCTTTGTCAGCTTAGCTTTAATCTAAGTGCTAGTCTGTCTTTCACTATCATCACCTACAGTCGTCGCATAGCCACACAGATCATTAACTGTGGAAATGTCCTGAATGCTATTATATTGATTCTTAACTCATTTCACCTCTTTGCTTTTATCCCTCTCTCCCTAATCCCCCACTCCAGCTTCTGACTGATTTAATAACTGTTTTAATTGCAGTCTCACTTGTAGTGCTATACATATTAGATAGGCTGGTATTTCTGTTATTTTGTTTCCTTTCAGATTTCTAGAGACCAGGCACTGAGGGCACTAGGGGAAACAATTGTGAAGAATGTAAAGGGTAAGTTGTTGATGCTTTATGTGAAGTGTTTCCATCCTGTAAGGGACTTTAATCAAAATAAAGGTTCCATTTCTTTAGGGTGTATTGGTAATATGGTGATAGCCACGTGGAGTGTGGCCAATATCATGCGAGTCACTTTTATGTCCCTAGACATTTCCTGGTAACCATTTGAGGCTGGGACGACATGGAAACCCAGATCGGTTTGAAAAATCAGTAGGAACATAAACCTATGAACATCAGACTCTCAGGCAAGCATTCTAACAACTGCACTACTGCAGCTGTCTTGGCGACTAACATTAAACCAGAGATTTTCAGAATTCCCAGAGTTCTGGGGCTCTGCTTTAGTTTTTATACTACTTTATTTAGTTTTAGGATATTCTTTTTTTTTTATACAGCTAGATTCTCTAAATTGGAGTGGTCAGGAGGAAAAAAAGAATCCTGTCACAGGTGGGATTGAATCCATATTGCTCTTTTGGGAAACATTATGAATAGATATCAGACTAAATATGAAGTAGAGCTAGTCAGCTTCATATTATCAGTCAAAACCACAAGTAGACATTGCAGCCAGAAAGCCTTCATCAGCACAAGTCATGAATAGACAATGCTACAATTACGAGCAAGAATATACACAATCACCAAATTCAGTGGTTCTCAACCTGTGGGTCACGGCTGTTTTGTGGGTCGAACGACCCTTTCACAGGGGTCACCAAAGACCATCAGAAAACAAATATTAAATGAAGTTATGAAGTAGCAACGAAAAAAGTTTTATGGTTGGGGTCGAGGGCCACTGACATAACCGAAGTATCTCTGATAGAAATTTGTATGTTTGTCTAGTGAAGCTATGACACGCATGTGAACACTGGAAATGAATACTAGCTAGAAAAAGTTGAGGCACGCAAGAGCCATAACTCAGAAATATTAGATAAAGCTTTGTTAGACTGTAAGTCGCCTAGGTGAGTTGAAGCCAGTTAAATAGATAAGGCAGTTCTCATGAAATTTACACTTATTTACCGTGTCTGTGGTGGGCTTGGACTTGATAACCTTAACCGTCATATTGAAGACGTCTTGATGACCCTGAGAATTGAAATGCACCAGCACTTGTTTGGGAGCACAGACGTTTTCACTAGTCTATTTTTAATAGTCATTGAATTGTCATTAAAGTCTGAACAATTTTTTGGTGATCACTAACATGTTCGTAAAATTTATGTGCGCATGCAACACAAATATCATTGCCAATAGCATGGTGACTTAAAAAAAAATGTATTTCCTTATCAATGTTTCTGTCTCCTTACATACATTATGGCAGGCACCATTATCAGTGAATTAACCTGACAATTAACTAGCCTTACTCACAGAATAAATAGTTTCTGGAATGGTTTTTGAACATTTCTGTATCAGAAAGGTTGTCTCCAACATAGAAATAGGTCTACATTAATTTGTTGGGGACCAAACAGAATCTGATTTACTTATTACATTTCCAGGATTACATTTATATACATCTGAACTAAAAAAATACATCTTTGAGAGGCACATAAAGAGCATTAGAATTAGCATATGGTGATTGTAATCTGAATCCAAGGTGTATTCACTCTAATGATTATCAGATTTTATTAATACTTTGATACAAATGAATTAATGTATTTGAATCAGAATCTTTGCCCGATGCAGAGGAAGGAGTAATTAGTTCATGTTATCAAGCTTTTGTGAAGAAGGTTCTCCGGGACATGATTCTGGATGAGGAAAGAAGGTATTTTTTCAAATCAATTGGATAATTTCATTTATCAAACCTGTTTATAGAATTTGTTTCTTCTTATTGTCCAAGCCATGTCACGATGGTAATCATGTCTGACCACAGCCTTCTGTTATCTCCTGCAGTCTCTCTTCCACTCCACCTTTCACACTGTCATTGTTGCCCTATTGTCATTGTGTGGAGATCCTTCTCTGATGTGGGTGAACAGTTCTCTTTATGAGTTAATTTTTTATTAAGAATGCATGATATTTAGTATTCTTTCTGAGGGATAACTAATTAACGCCAAAAAAGAAGCGCATGGACATTATTAGCACGCTCAGTGGGCAGAACAGTCAAAGAATCCAACGACGCCTTTTCCATGACAACCAGCAGCATGACAATGGAGGTGATGGCAGTGACGCAAGCGTTTGCCTGGCTCGAAACACAAAAATACACCTGCGTATGTATACTCAGTGATTCAGTGAGTATGATCCAGAGGGTTCATTCAGGTTCGGTGCTTGAATCATTACAGAAGTCCACTGTAAGTGGAGTCGCCTTCATTTTTGTTCCGGGACACGCAGGCGTCAATGGAAATAAAAGAGCTGACAGGTTGGCTGGATCAGCTATCACTACCGACGGTCAGCCTATGGATCATGCTGATATTAATAATGCCCTCAGAGAAATGGGAATGATAGAGGACTTTGGGGGCAGTGAATCCACATCACTCGCCAGAATGGCAGACTTGGGAATTAAGATCGGCATAGCAAAAAACGAGTCGCACACCAGACACACCAGAAGACTTGTTAATCAACATAGAACTGGTACTATTAGCCATCGGACGTTGGGGTTCATACTGAGGGGAGGATCTGAGCACCTATGGACATGTCCGGAGTGCAATGATGATAACCCAACTAACTAACTAACTAATTAACGCTCTGGGTTCCAAGGCTTCATTTTCAAAGAAGGAGAAAAGAACAGAACCATTGAATCCTAACATGTCGTTAAAGGTGACTAATTTGGAGTTTGTCAGAATTAGCTGTGCTGCATAAAAAAAGCACAGAAAGCTTAGCTGTAAACCACGAAACTGAATATAGGCTGGATTGTGAAGACAACAATAGCTACCACCAGAAAAAAAAGGAATTCATTGTACTCTGACAGAGCAGCTTGATGATCTTGATTTTGCTCCCTGCCCCAACTTAAGAAATGCACAATGAATTATTTGCATTTGATGGAAAGCACAATGACTTTCTCAGGCTGTCGTCAACTGCGATCTTCTCAGGGACAGTGACAGATAATAGAACATCTTAAGCATAAAACAATAAATGTTGAAAACGCCACACAGTTGATCCTTGCGAAATGTTTATTAGTTCCAATTGGTGTCCTTAAGGTAAACTGTCTAGGATGACCAACATAACATCGGCCACTTTAACATCATGAATAAATGCATTCATACCTTGACAAGACGGCGAACCACAATGTGAAAACATCAGGTTTCCATCTAATCACATCGACAGCAAAACAAAATGCCAGTCTTGAGAACTTGTCAAACTAACTGCTTGGCCATTTCTCCGTGGGACTTGCAATAAAATCTTGAGCAGACACTCTCTCCCAGTAACTTTCATTCCATTCTTTCTCGTCACCATCAAACACGCTGTCCCAGCATCGAAAACAAGACTGACTCTTCTCACCCATTCCTTAAATAGCTTCAGTGTTCTCAAACATTTGAAGCATAATTCACACTTCTTTGACTCTGGCACGCCTCAGCCAACCTGCACAGTCACCACGACTTATTCATGATACATTGTATTCAATACCATTCAACCAAGTTCAAGCAGATAATTTATGTTTAGCATTTGACCTCATTTCAGACGTGAACATTAATTAACAAGGAGTAAGTGACTGATTACAGAAAGTCACACCAGTTTTCAATCCCTGTAACATGGGTGCATCTTTAAATTGTTATCCTTTTATGTAACTTTTGCAGATGTGATGGTCGAGGTTTGACTGATCTGAGGAATATCTCTTGTGCTGTTGACCTCTTTAAGCCTCTTCATGGTTCAGCATTGTTTCAGCGAGGACAAACGCAGGTTTGTTAAACAGTATGTTACTGTAACCTGGGGTGGGGTAACTCAGTGATCACACTTACCTGCTGGACCGCGGGCCTTGGGTTCAAATCCAGGTCATTTTTATCAAATGACCTTGTCTTTCAGGTCAATCCAGACTAATTTCGGCACCAGGTATGGTCTGGAAAGTTAAGGTGGCCAGTTTGATGTTGATCTTGTCTCATTGGCAAAGTGGCCTGGCCATTTGCACTCTCAAGGTCATGGATTTCTTTCGCGGCTGCGTTGTTCATTCACGAGTGCAATGTTCACTGAGATCCCTGGGAATCATTGCCAGAGCTAAGGAGTTACTGCTTTGTTGTTTTATCCATTTATTTTTCCAGTCCCCGTTTGTGATGTATTTAGTATTCCATTGGTAAAGATTTTGGTCGAAACATTCGGTTGTATTTGTGTGCGTCTTTTCCATTCCCTTCGTTGAGCGTTCTACTGTCATTTTATGTTGTATTTTTGAAGATGAGAAGGATTTGCAAATCTTAGCTAATTGAGAACTTAAGCACCATTCCACTGCTGCTGCTGGTTATGTATGTGTGTGTGCACAATCATCTTTTCCTCCTCTCCTCCTCTTTTCCTTTGTTTTAAACATCTCCTTTGCACTTCATTATCCTCACATGATTATCTGCCATCTTCAGGTTCTATGCACAGTCACCTTTGACAGCCTGGACTCAGCAGTTAAATCTGACCCCATCGCTGTAATGACTGGGTAAGTGTTTTTAGATCAGGTTAGTAATTCAGTGAAAAAACTGGGGCACAGAAAAAGCAAAACATTGATTACATTTGGCATGGAAATTACTGGTTTTGTAAGTGCGGTTTTTTTTAATCAGTTCTATTCATGTAAATTTTTTACAAAGAAAATAATCAGTTGCAAGTTAGCCGACATTGATTGGAAGTATGTTCTTTTTTAAAGCCTTGCAGATGTGTAAATTGTTTACAAAGAAGAAAAACCAGTTGAACGTAACCTTCATCCCTTAAAATTAATTCGGGGAAAAAGACTTTATTCCAGATGTCTGAGGAAAAAATACATCTATATCATTCTCTGAAACTTTACCCTAAGAACTAAAGACAGAAGAAATTTTCAGTCTTGGTCAGGTTTTATAAAAATTAAAGGAGTTGAATCCCATAGATCATAGAGTAAACAGGCAAGTGTCCACAGCTTCTTTGCGGCCGTCAAGTCACTAAAAAATCAATTATTTTCAGGCCACTTCAGATCTCTATTTCCAGCAAAAGTTTCTTTGTTGTTGTGTATGTAAAGGGAAATGATCACTGAATACAAATTAAGGAAAGAATTAACTACTTTCTTTCCTTTTGACCATGAAAACTGGTTTTCTTAAGACAGCCACATGGAGCAAAGTGACATCAAAATGAGGTTATTAGGAGATCGCAGTTTGAAATTAAGCTATTTTGTCACCCCTACTTGAGTTTTGCATGCACTTCTGTTTTACAGATTGGGTTTATTTGTATGCAGACTTGTTTTCTTGTATCTCAGGCAGATGCATTCTGACTTTGAAGGAAACACTTAAACAACATGTTTGTTAGAAAGGCAGTGGTTCTGTTTCTGTTTTCCACAACAGTGTGGCCCTGGAACCCACATGGCAATGAATGAAATGACTCTCTTATCATTTTCTCAGATGGGAGAGAACTTAGAAAGCTCGAGTGGACAAAGAGGTGAAGATAGAACGACTTGGCGTGAGTTGGTTGAGGGCTTATGCTCCATTGGAGGCTAGAAAGGCAGAAAAAGAAGAAAGAAGAAGCATGAGAAATGTCTTTCTATACTCTAAAGCATACATATATTTAGAATTGAAATAATAGACCTATTTTAGAGATTTTTATTTTTTATTCAATTGGTAATTTAAAGGCATAAACCTGTAGCTAGATGATGTCTTGAAGACCTGATGGGTGAATTCTCTAAGGGGCTGAAATTTAATTCCACTGATCTGAGCTCCTATACCAATCCAGCCTCAAACTGGTATTGGAAATATCCTGATAAGTAAAGACAACTATATTTTCATAAAATCATTCATGACAAGCCAATCGTCTCAACATAGTGTGCTGCACCGTATACCAAATACACCCCATGGCATGAACAGGTATACACTTTGGTTTACACAGAAAAAAAAAAAGGTTATGAATGCCAGGAGCCAAGGTCTTTGGAGAGACAAACATCTGTGATATGAATCTATGTAAGATCATGGTTGACATTAAGCACAATCCCCTATAGTCTGCAAGTGGTTGAGAGTATTGTAGAGAGACTTAACATTCAGACAGAAAATTTTGCTTACTTCCTCTATCAGCATCTCTAATTTTTTTTGTAATCTTTTCCCCCCAAAAATGTAGGGCTATGAAAGAGAAAAATTTCATGTTACATTATGAGGTAAGCATTTTTTACTTTTGCTTTATTCATCCATGTTACATACTCTAAGAGTGATATACCTGGAGAGATTAATGTACAAAATTAATATCAATACATCATACTGTGAGATTGGTGAAATATTTGATATTATGTAATTACTTAATGCTGCTGGGATACTTGAAGTGTGGGAGACATCAGTTAAAGTTAATTTAAGAAAATGTCTGTGCTCATAATGAAAGATTGGTGAGATTAATGTAGGAAATTGTCATTACTTTGAGTCAATGAGGTTGAATTGTTATAGATTGAGTTATCTTCAAAGAACTCTGGACACATACATAGGTGCTCACATTCCCCCTTCAACATATAAATTGTCATCCCAGCTCAAATAGTGCCAGTCCTGTTCTGGTTAACAAGACTTCTTGTACATCTGGTAAACCTTTCATGCTTCATTGTACTGATCTTTACTCCCAATTCTTGCATTCTTAGCAATGTTGGGGATACACTGCTCTCAAAAACCTCTGATCATCCTATCTCTCTAAGGGCATTAATAGTGTTGGCGCAAACCATAAGCCAGCCGTCTGCAGAACCTGTCTGTCAGCTCTTTCATTGCCAGCACCTGCATGGCCTGTGAAAAAGAGAAAAGTAACTGGATGTACAGTGGATTTGCAGAGGGACTCAATCCAGTGTTTACGTACAGGTCCTGCCTCGACCCTCAGGATAATGCTCATTGAATCACTCAGCACACACACATGTGAGGATAGCCCGGTTTTTCTAGCCACACAGAAGCTTGTGTCTCTGCCATTACCTCCATCATCATGTTGCTGGTAGTCATAAAGAAGGCACCGCTGGCTTCCTGGATTGCTTTACCTGCAGAGTGAACTGTAATTGCCCATGCACCTTTTTATCTTTGTACAACTGTTTAGATCGGCACATCTGCTTTATCTGAATTGTCACAGATAAATGCTGGGACCTCAGCATTGACAGCAGCAGTATTCTGCTCCCATTCAAGCGTGGGGGTGCAGGAAAATGGGCGACTGAGCGCTTCAGGTATAGGTATCCATATCTTTCCAGGGTGCATGTCTGTAAGACTGTAGACCCCCTTGATATCGTCTGACCTACCTAGCCATGATTTGCCCCTTTTTAATCAATTGCCACTTTTTCTGAAGAGGTTGATGTGCAAAGGGTGCTTCAGATCTGAGCTTATTATATTTGGGTTGTGTGAGAGATTAATGTATGAAAATAATATCATTGCTTATACTGTGAGATTGTTAAGATACTTTTAGTGCGGGAGAGCTTCATAAAAAAAAATAATTAATGTGCTTCACACTATGAGTGAGATTCAGATACTTGGAGAGTTTGGTGTAAGAAATTATCATTACTTCATAGTGCTGAGGTTGTAGATGTACTGTTCAACTTTAATATATTTGTAGCCAGGTAAATTATTATAAAATAGGTGTCAGCCTCAGACCGGATTGAATGGCACAAGCAAGAAGCAATCTGTATCTGTCTTGAATAATCCCACTTCAACAGTTACTGCTCTCAAGTTTTTTTTTCCCCCATTAAAATAAGACTTTGTGATTTTTGTCTTCAGTTTCCACCGTATGCAACCAATGAGACAGGCAAAGGAGGAATCGGGAGAAGAGAGATGGGACATGGTAACTTAAGATTTTATAAGTGAACATTTTCTTGTGTTTGGACCCAGTTAGTTTTTGGTTTTTGCTATTTTTTCTAAGCCACAGTCATCCTGGAAGCAGCTTACTTGCTGTAAGCCTAGCCAGTGTAGATGGGATCAGTATTGCCTTCAAAGCTGAAGTGCATCTGCCTGAACCAACAGTCTGCATACCAATAAGCCAGAACTGTAAAATGGATTGTGCACCAAAAACTCAAAATTCTCCTACAAGACCATCGTCCAGAAATGGATGAATAACTAGAATTTTCTGCTGGAGTTTACAGCCGGTAAATGTGAAAAAGAAGAAGATAATTTACTGTACCCTGAATACTTTTTATATACTCCAGTTGATGTTTTCAACAGCGTACATTTTAATGATACTTGACAAATGGTTTCCCACCTCTATATGTGGATGTGGGGGTGGGGGGTAGATCCACTGCTCCCCAACAAGCATGTCGTAGAAGTTTACATATTAAGGCTTTGCTGAAATCAGATGTGCTAGGCTGAAAGGTGCAGTATTGCGGCCTAGCTGTAAAACACAACACAGCTTGCCAACCACCCTTCTGAGTGAAAAAGAAAAAGTTTCCCTGCAGTAATAATATTCTGTGCCTGATTCCGGTAGTTTATTGATTCTGTAAGGTCTTCATAAATTACCCCAGATGATAAACATCTTTTTGCTAGGGATCATTCTTATTTGCATTTTCGTGGCCGTAAGAAATAGTTTCATTTGTTTGTTAATTGTTCAGAATTCACAACCGTGGATTAATGTGTCTCTATAAATGGCATGTGAGTATTCCCTAACTTCCAATGACATGGATTTATCGTATAAAATGTTCTTTATATATCAAATGCAGTTGTAGCTTGTCCTATTCTGTTAAGTATCTCTGTGATATACATCTTCCATTGAATGTTATCTTGTGTGCTGCCTAGATACTTAATTGTCTGACTGCAGATTTTCAGTATGTATAGTGTGCATACCAGCTTTCCAGTTTTGCTGCCATTGTCTAAGAAAGTTAGATGTCCACTACCCCAGTATCAGGAGAAAGTTTACATAGCTTTGTATTTGCTTCTCCAACAGATGCCCTCCAACCTTGAAGGAAACACTGCTAATTAGTCTTTTTCTCCCAAAATGGAATCCTGGTATCCACATGGGGACGTCCAGGCTGAAATATACCATGCCTGCATGAGCCAGAGGCGGGCACCATTACATCTAAGCCACTGTTGCTCTTGTTTTCTTGTAGTTAAAAGGCTAAAGTCGTGAGTATCGACTTTATTGCACCAGGTTTTATCCCATTTCGCTCGGTCTCTGTCAGCAGAATGGCTATCAGCCAGCCAATAGTGTCACACAAAGCATGAACTCCATAGATCTGCTGAAGATACCCAAGAATCTCTGTAAAAATCACACTCGTGAATTGAATGGCACAGCCGTAAAATGAACCTACGACTTTCAGACCACGAGGCAAGCAGCTTGACCATTTCACCTCAGACAAGCATCTTGTAGTGTTTATAGCTAAAAATGACTGTCTTATGTGTAGGAAATGCTGCATGAGTTTGTTAACAATCAAGCCTTGTGTCTCTTGCCTTGATTGTTAACAAACTCATGCAGTATGTTTTTAATGTTTTTTTTACTAATCAGGAGCACTGGCTGAGAGAGGACTGAAAGCTATTCTACCTGAGGAATCTGAGTTCACAACCCGTTTAACGTCTGAAGTCCTAGAATCTAATGGTGAGAATACATTATGTGCTGGGAGGTTCAGCCTTAAAAATAAAATCACTTTCTTTATTTTCCACCTTTATCTTCATGAAGGTGGAAAATAAAGAAACATCTTGATGTTGTCATTGTTGTGCAACAATGAGAGAACCAGTGTGTCCAAAATTAGTCAGTGTGCTAACTTGATTCTTACTCCGTACAGCAACTGGTATCAACAGTGTTATCCTTATGTTGGGCACATCCTGATAAGAAACAAGCATAGAATCACCAGGCAGGCACTGAAATTGGAAACAGATGGGTTGAGGAAACGAGGATGTCTAAGAGAAGCCTGAAAACAAACATTGTTAAGAGGTCAAAGGTTCTGAACTGGAATCCATCCATGATATCAGAAGGATTGCACAGGACAGAATGGATTGGAGCACTGGACTGTGAGCCCTATGTTATGTCTGACAGCATGACTTGATGATAGGTTGATTTCTTAAAAACTATATCAAAACAAGTTCTTAATTTCTGACTTTGTGAAGCATGTCGATAAGATCATTGTGTTACAGCAGTATGTAATTACTGTGTTGAAATTGGTTCCTCTTCTGGATTTCGGGGACGTGGGAGAGGGGCAGAGGTGAATAAACCCATTTAACAAGTAGTTTAGCAATTCATAAAAAGTTACTAATTAGGGATTTGCTGAAATTGTCTATGTTGGGCCAAAAGATGCAGATATTGTAGCCTTGCTGTAAACAAAAGCACAGCTTTCAGCCACCCCTTCAAAGGGCCAACACAGAAGAAAAGTGAAGTTAGTATGCTAAATGAGAGTCTTCTTCTGCTGCCAGGCTCCTCTTCCATGGCCTCTGTGTGTGGTGGTAGCTTGGCACTGATGGATGCAGGGGTGCAGGTCAAGGAACCAGCCGCTGGTGTGGCCATCGGACTTGTGTCCCGCACTGATCCAGCAACAGGCAACATCACTGACCATAAGATTTTGACAGATTTATTGGTAAGTTTTTTGGAAAAAAATAATTAGTATAATAGCATTCTTTTTTCTTTTTCTCTCTCTTTCCTCCCCTTCTCGCTGCACCCTCCCTTTCTGAGAGAGTCAGTCCCTATGAACTAAGCAGTAATAACTTCTTCTTCTTCAGCATTCCGAGCATTTGAGGATACTAATAACTTACATATTTAAATTATTAAAATACTTCTGATTATTTAACAAGTGAAGCAGTTTTAACGTTCATATTAAAATGAACAAATTGATTTAAAGCTTGCAGATTAGGCAGCACAGTTTGACCAGCTGGCTGTAAAACTGTTCAAATATGAGTAAGATTTTATAGCTGCTGCAAGATTGTGCTTGCTCATAGCCATGTGATTCTGCCTGTTCAAAGATCTAATGAGTGGCCAGCCTGGCAATGTTGCTATTAACTTGCCATGTAAACAGAATGCTTCAGGTTGACACTAAAAAGAGTTTTTAGTATTGTGTTTAATATTGTTTGCGGAGTCCATGGCCTAGGCATTGTAAGTCTGACTCGTAATTCCAACTTACCGTGATTGAAACCCACTGCTGGCTGCGTGGATTTTTATCGTGGTATGGGGCGTCACAAGTCGACCCAGCCTAAAATGATTACCAGGATGTATGTCTTGGGGAAGTAAAGACGGCCGGTGTAATACTGACCACATTACCCTCCTAGTGCCGATTGGTCTAAAAATTATGGGTGCTCTTCCCATACGCCCATTGCGCCTAAAATGCATGGAAAGGGATCTTTACTTACTTACCTAATATTGTTTGTGCCGGCTTCATTTACATAAATCCCCCGTGTGGGTTCCGGGGCCCTATTGTGGGGAAAACAAGAATAGACCCACTGCCTCCCCAAAAGCATGTCGTAAGAGTCGACTAACTGGGGAGCTTCCTTTGAAGTCGGAGTGCATCTGCCTGAGAGGCAAGGAACCAGCAGTCTGCATTCAATTGAATCAGATCTGTAAAACTGATGCACACGCAACACTCAGGTTCTGGAACAGGACTGCAGTCCAGAAGTGGACGAACAACCAGAACTTTACACCAGAGTTTACAGCTGGTGAACGCGAAGAAGAAGAAGAAGATTTACATAAATTTTGGTATCAATAGACAATAATTGCATTTGTGCAGTTGAAAAGTTACTGGTGATAAATTGTTTAGTGCTAGAAGTTACACAGAAATTCGTTAGATAAGACAGTGGTAGTTGGTGGAGAGTTATTTATCGTGGATAGTTTAGTTTCCAAAAGTCATGACACTTGGGTCCTGTGTGGGTTCTGGGGCCCCATTGTGGGGACAACAAGAATAGACCCACTGCCTGCCCAAAAAGCATGTCATAGGAGTTGACTAATTGGGGACATCCTTTGAAATTGGAGTGCATCTGCCTGAGAGGCAAAGAACCAAAGGTCTGCATACAGATAAGCCAAATCTGTTAAAAGGATGTGCACGCAACACACAGGTTCTGGAGCTAGACTAAAATTGAGAGATGGATGAACACCAAAAACATTCACCTGGAATTTACAGCCAGTGAACACAGAAGAAGAAGAAGATGACACTGGCATACAGTTAAGAGTTTTTGATATGATGAGAAATAAAAACCTTGAGAAGAGTTGCAAAAGTGATGGGAAAAGGACAAGGAAAGATAAAGATACCAGCCAAAACAAGAGTGTGAAGCCAATCAACTTTGTATTGTCACAAACACAGACCACATGTGAACGTTGCAGCTAGAGAGCCTTCCTAAGCACATGACATAATATAAATATAAAACACTACAAATACGAAAAAGAATACGTGAAATCACTGATCTGAAGTTTCTCCGAAAGAAATCTACATGTCTGGCCTGTTGAATTGCTGACATGCCTGTGACTACAGAACTAAATACTAACCAGAAGAGACAAGGATTATAACTTGGAACATTTTTTGGGGATAAAACTGTGTTGGACATTAAGTCCCCTAGGGAAGACAAAGAGATAAATATCTGACCAATGAAGATGATCATGATGTTATGGGAAAGTAAAAGACCCTCCACGCCTTTAGGCGTATTGGATGTGTAGGGTTAGACTTGTATAAAGACAAGTAGGCTCTCAATGGTTGATGTGGTCAACATCTTGCCGGCCACCTTTACTTGCCAGGATTATATCTGGCACACACTCAAAGCTGGGTCTTTTTTTTTAAAAGTCTAGCTCCGACAGGACCTGAATCCATGGGATGAGGTTATAGGCCTGTTTAATATGTGATTGGTTTTTGTCGGGTGATCTTTAGGGCATAGAGGATTATATGGGCGACATGGACTTCAAGATGGCGGCTACCAAAACAGGTCTCACAGCTCTCCAGGTTAGTTGTTCTTGTAATTAGTTAGCCATTGTGAGTTGTATGCAGTCATTTATGTAGTTGTATCATTCTCTGTGTTGTAACCTTCTAACCGCACTGACTCAGCAACAGGTAACATAACTAACCATAACAGTTTTATTGCTAAGTTAGAAAAAAAAAAGGATCTATTAAATCATTCTTTTTCTTTTCTTTGTTTTTCCTATCTTTCTAATGTGTGTTTGGGTGAGAGAGAAATAAGAAAGAGAGAGTGAATCCCTAGAAACATTTATGTTGCAAGTGATTATATATAGTCTTTAGTGCCAGATTTAGGTATTAACTAAATCAGCAACATCTTGGGGGCTCACAGTCTTTAGGCCTTAACAAGCCTTAACAAATTCCCCCTCCCTCACCCTTGTGCCCAACAGGTGCAGTTTTCTTTCAATATATTTTAAATGCAATTTTCTTTCAGTATATTTTGCATTTTTAAAATGTTTTAAGTTGTAACTTAGAGCCTTTTTTATATAATATAATTTCTGGAATTTTGCAGATACATTCTTTACTATTTCTTCTAACAGAAATTACACGACAATATATTTGCAGCATCTAAATATTCAAAAGGCATAAATATTTAAATATATATATATATGTGTGTGTTTTCTGGGATTAGCTGTAGCTTAAAATGGTTGGGACCTCAGGGTTTTATTTATCTTAGGACCTCATCAAGTCTAAATCTGGCCCTGGTGGTCTTTTATATAATTGTAAATACTTGAGCCATATTCAACACCATACTGATATGGAGAAAACAATAATGGAAGGTATGGGACCGGAACTGGCTTATAGACATCATCCTGTCCCGGGAAATTTGTATTTTTGCTATTTAAAAGTCATGTTGGCCTGAGAGAATGATGATGGAGGGTACATATTCTGGAAAACGATGCAAGGGCCGACCTCCACTAGGTGGATACAAGACATTGAAGATGCAATGGCTATGACAGCACATATAGCTGGAGAGTTGGTTAGAGAAAGAGAGACTTTCAGGTGAGCCATGTTCTGTAAAGAACCTGCTGATTGTTCTGCAAAGAATCTGCTACACGATGATGATAATGATGTGGTTGTATCTTTGTCCAGGTTATTGTATACTGATGAAGGCTTTTTAGCCATAGTGTTAATTTTGCAAGTTATATGTATTTATTTATGTAGTTGTATAATTCTTCATTTTGTTGTCTGTTGAAGAAGGTCTTTCTAGCCACAACATTCATTTTCCAAGTTATACTCTCTGAATGACTGGTAAAAGTAAACCATTAGCCATAGTGACACTGTTCATTGCTTACATTGTTCAGTAGTCTTTTAGCTTACTACATCAACCTACAGTCACATTTGTTCAGTGGTTCACAAATCGCAAAACAAATAAACACGGATACTCTTATTGCCTTTCCCATCAGCTATGAAAATCGTGGTGTGGTTCATTTTCTTTAAGCAGATGATCAAAATGTCACTGAGATTCATTGTTGATTGTGTTGTGTCTATTACGGTGATAACATTGTGAGGGATTGGTGCAGCAAATTCAGAGATGGGCACAAAGAAGTGCATGATAAAAGTGGACAAGGATGCCATTCATGTGTGACAAATGGGCTCATTTAAAAGATTTACCAAGTCATGGTAGAAAAACGCCATTTCACAATAATAGATCTTTCCACAGATTTTCCACAAATTTCTAGGACTAGTCTGTTTCGAATTATCACAGAGAGAAGGTTAGGTTACCACAAATTCTGTTCACTGTGGGCACCAACGCAGCTGACTAACACAAAGCTCAAAGAATGGCTCAGTTTTGGCCTTCTTTTTGTGCTGCTGGGAATATGAGGAGCTAATAAGTGAACAAGCGGCTAAGTACCCTGGTGGCACCATTACATGAGGAGTGGTTTAAAAAAAACTCACGCCATTGTACAAGTGCCTGAAAGTAGCTGGTTGCTCTGCGGACAGGCAGTGCAGTAATGGATGTAATGTCTCTATGTATTTAAATGTTGTAGTCAATTTGTATGAATTTTTGCCAGCCAATCGGAGGTTGATTTTGGAATAGCCCTTGTATGTTTTCATTTATGTAGTTATAGAATTGTTCATTTTGTTGTGTGCTGAAAAAAGGCTTTCTAACCGCAACATTAATTTTGAAGTGGTTGTGAAAACCTGTTTCTATTTTAACATAATGATGAAACGTGATGTTTGTCTCTTGCAGGCAGACATTAAACTACCTGGAATTCCATTCTTTGTGGTTATCAAAGCTTTAGAAAGTGGGTTTGGTAAGTGAACATGTGAAATAAGGTGTGAATGATTGGTTTGTGTAAAGTCATTTTTCTTGTTTATTGCTGCATTTTTATGTCAGAGTGAATGACGAACAAACTTTATTTTTTTTCAAATAGTTACAAATCGGGCACACAGGCCCGTCTTACATTCAGCCCTTTTAAGCACCCTTTTTTCCAGATCAAAATTGCATGTTATCAATAAAGCATTTTATATTAATATAAAAATATACACAATGAAATGATGCATACACACTCAGAAATTCACGTGTACAGATACTCTTACAAGCTCATATGAACACACTCATACGGTACATACCTACAAGAATACATACATACACATACAAACAAAGCAGATATTAGCTGCATAAGTTGAGACAAACATTATTAACTCAGTATAGTATCTAAATTAGTTGGATTAAGAATCAACCTATGAGCGCTCAGGACATTCCCATAGGCGCTCCATCCCCATCTTTAACAGCAAGCACAGAGTTCCAATTCCATTGGCACCATTAAGTCTGATTGCATACCCATCTCACCTTTCCCTTGAGTACTGAGCTGTTGTGTGCTAAAGTTGCTTAATGGGCAAACATCACACGACCAAGTGTCCTGGATGTGATTCAAACTCCAACTGTTGTATCCAACTTGCCAACGAAACTGTCAGGAAAACTCAACAACATGTTGCCGCCATATATACACATTTATTGTCAACATTTCAGTTGGGTATAGACGAACCCGCGTATATAATAATTCAGGCGAAGTAATCATACACGTCACTGGCTAATTATGAAATGAATATCCCTCACTTCGCTTGCTTAAACGGTCACAGGGACGCTCTTTCTGACAGCCTACACTAGCTGCCACTACAGGCTGAGCAGACAGCCACAGTGCCTGGTCTTCAGCTCCCCTCACTTCAGAGCTTGCTGTACGGATGAACAAGTTACATCTCCGACTCAACTTGACCTCCGTTGCTCTATACGTAGCAGACACTGTCACATCGGTTGACTGGAAAACTTCTGATTCTTGATCTCCAGTATATGCACACAGCACATGACCGGCAAGACTCCAAGCCTGAGTCCTCTTCAGCACACGGCTGTCACCGACTTCCTTGCTGTCTGGTTTCACTAGTGATCCTACCACCTCACATGTACCGTCATCCAAGACAGCTTGTTCTTGAAGTAGTCCAGCTCTCTAGGTCTAACTCTACCAACTGGACTTCTCTTCCTTTGACTGCTTTTTCGACTGTCCTCTAGACCAGTCTCTTGCAAGAGCTTCTGCTTCAAACATTCTTAACTCAGCTGTTCTTTTGACATGTACTAGCAGACCTCTGTCCTCTCAACTGAACTCAGCCTCACTATATACACACGCCTGTCTCTTGTGAGCCTTCGTGCGCACAAGATGTCCACTGTTATACTTTATTCCCCTTCACTGAGAATCCCATACTTTTCCATGCGATAGCCTTTATACGCGCACTAAGTTTAATAATGGGCTGATAACTTCGTGAATCCACTGGTCTATCCAGCCCCGAGTCAACACTGACTTGTAATAATATTGACTCAAGCCGAACTGACATCTCCTGGCTTAAGTCAACACTGCAGCAAATATTGACTCAGGTCACTGAACATTCCAGTGGACTCCCAAAATTCACACGACATTGTCCCCAGCAATGTTACAACCCTTCCAAATCTACACGAATCAAAACGCAACATGAGCATCGACCAGATTTCCTGGTCACTTCTCTTACCACCATTCTCTTCAGGCTGCAATGATCTGTTTGTGCATCCACACTGTTCACACACTGCCAAAGAACCCCTACATCTAGTTTGGCATGCATCAGTTCAACACCAGTGGTGCAGAACCGGCCAGTCTATCAGCCTGTTTGTATATAAAATAATATTTCCTTAGTTAGTGTAAAGGCTACATGGTACTCAGTGGCTCTCACGTATGTCTGCCGGCAGGTTGTCATCAAGTCACCCTAGCCTTAAAAACAAAAAAATTGAGCACTTGCAAATATCTTGGAAGACAACTCGACAAGGCATGATGTTGACCATATTACCCATTGAGTGCCAGTTGTACTGTAAAATATAAAGCTTACTCCATATGCCTCATGTGACTCACTGATCTTCTCTTAAGTTAGTATAATGTCACACAGCTTTCTAACCTAATGATCTTTAGAAATTTCCGCTACCTTTCTCTGTCTACTTAAAGTATCATAACACTGTATGTCATTGGATCAGTGGGTTCTTGCTGACTGTTTGATTAGGTATTTCCATTTGTGGTATTTTTTTCTTCATTTTTGAGGCCCATGCACTCAGCCCAAGTCTTTACCCTTGGGTTTATCTTACAACCACTGAGTTATCTGCTCCTGGCAGAAACCACGAATGGTAACAAAGAATGAACACTAGCATGTTTTAGTTTGCACTTAGCAATACTTTAAAAGTTAGCTGATATTGACTTCACTGATCCTCTTACAGCTGGAGTCAAGCAGATACTGGAGATCATGTCTCGGACAATCTCAGCCCCACGGAAAAGTATGAAGCCTTGTGGGCCTGTTACAGGTAAGGTGCCTTGTTTATGTCTTTTCTTACTTATGATTTTTCAATTTATGGCTTACCGGTTGCCAGTGCGATTTGTAATTCCCATGTACTTGGTTCGATTTAGCTGCAAGCGCTTTGGCAGCAGACTGCTTTTGCATTAATTTCAACACTGGTAGGAGTACTGACCATTCAGAAGCAGTGGCAAACTACTGAATATAATTTTGACTAGTAAAACAACAGCAGCCCTAAATAATGCTAGAGTTTGTTCTGCACTGTGTTGTAAAGGATACTCAGTTAATTGTACTGTTTGTTGATTGAATGCTTTTTAGTATATTTTTAATGGTCGATGAAAATACATCTCAGTACATTCTATTATTAGTTTATACAATTTTTTGAAATACATATCTTGATGAATTTTTTAAAACATTAACTTCTTTCTTTTTTTCATTAGAATTTGAGACATGTTCTTTTGTTTTCCTTCATAATTAAAATAAGTTATATTTGTTAAATACATTACCAGGAGATAGTAGACATGTGGTTCTGTAGACAAATGCTGAGAATTCCAAGCATATATAAAGACAGGTTTACTGAAAACTTCTTTTGAGAATCCAGGTCATGAAGACAGCAGGTTAATTTTTTCAGAATCATGTAAGCCATATTTGAATGATCAATGATGGACAAAACTGAATATATGGACAAAACTGAATATATGGACAAAACTGAATATGTGGACAAAACTGAATATGTGGACAAAACTGAATATATGGACAAAACTGAATATATGGACAAAACTGAATATATTGTCACAATGGCTGAGTTGGAGCAGATGACCAATACCATGCTGTACAGGATATAAACTTGGGCCACATACCAATAGAAATATGAAAATCCAGTGAAGGGAAGGAAACATATAAGTACCCGGGTGTTAACTTCGAATGCTCTGACATGCTGAGGGAAGAAATACAGTCTGGAATAAGGTATACTGTGTCCTTCAATCTGCTAAAGTCAGAGTCTCTAACTCCCAACACCAAGATCAAAATATTTAAAACATTGATAAGACCAGTTGTTTTATATGGCTCTGAAACTTGAAGCACAACTAAAAGAGAGAAGCCTTTAAAAAATTTTTAAGAAACAGAGTCTTGTTTTGTATCTTTGGGTCATCATAGATGCAAGCTGTGGAGAGTGAAAAGTGGTAACAAAGTTAATAATTTGTTTAAATCACCATTGATCACTGGTATCATAAAGGCTAACACTTGGTGTCATCAACTGTGAAGAGAAGGCCAACCAGAGAGATAAATGTAGGGGGTTGATATCTGCATCAGTGAACCCCAAGGGTTCGGAATGCTGAAGAAGAAGGTAAATTGGCTTGACAGAACCCTGCAAACCAGAATTTTTACTCAGAATAGAACATTGTAAACTCATAGCATCCCTGCATCAAATTGGTCTTGCTGACTGTGGTGCATCAGAGTAAAACTCCAGGATTACCTGCCAGAGAGAAAGAATAAATCTGGCTAACAGGAATGATCATACAAGACAAATTATGAGGCATTGCTAAGGACCTTAAGCCAATTGACATTTTTTAGTGACCCTTGTTGAAATAGATGCATAGCAAATGCTGATTGCTCAAGAATTATACTTTTAGGCTATCAAATTGATATGTTTTTCAAAGCCACTTTTAGACCATTTTATATTCCTGGAATAACGCATTTTTGTTTTTCAGAGGCTGTGTAAGGTTTAGTTACTTTTTATTTGACAACAAAATTTTAGTCTGCAAGTTTTAAATTCTGTTTTTTTTTTTTTTTATTCCTTAGAAAAACTAGTGTTGGATCATGCCAAACAAAGCAGGCTTGTTGGAATAGGTGGTTACAATCTTCGTAAGCTGAAGTCTGAAACAGGTACCTTAGCTTTTCAATTTGTCATAACTACGTCCACAGAATGTTATGTGTGAATGTGTGTTGAGTGGGGATGAGAGACTAAATTGATAGAAACATGTTTTAACACTGAAATGATTGTTGGAAACTCAGTGCTGTGCAGTACTGTAGAAACTTCTATTTAGTATTTTGAGCTTTTTTTTTATTTAACCTTTTTCCCTAGCAATTTTATTGAAAAATGTCTTCATGTTCTTATGCCTTTTATCTCATAAAGTTCCCTGGGGGTTATGAGGCCCCATTTTGGGCGACAAATAATAGACCCCCCCCCCTCCCCAATGCCATAAAAGTCGACCTGGGGTGGGGGGGAGGAGGGTCCCTCCAATGTCAGATAACATCTGCCTGAAAGCTGAGGAGCCAACAGCCTGCATACAAATAAGCCAGGTTTGCATGTGAAACTCAAGTTCAGGAAAAAAGACTAAAGTCAAGAAGCGGATAAACAACCAGAACTTTCTGCCAAAGTTTACAGCATGTGAATGCAAAGAAGAACTCATAATGGAGCATAGACCCTTAGACAGTTTGCACCTGCCCTTTGTAGACTTCTTCGTTATTAGTTGGATATTAGCTCAAGATCTGCAGAATAAGATAAGTTAGTCTCCTGCCTACTCTACTCAGTGGCCCCTTATGATATATATAGTAGTTAACTATTCTTTGCTTCCCTTATAAACCCTGAATGCACACAGGTAAAGGTAACTAGTAAAGAACTAGTGTGTTTATCTTTTAGGCCTAATAATTTGGGCTGGGTCCTCTTGTCATGATAAGACAGCATTGTGACCATGCTTGCCTTATGAATTGATCATTCACACACTAATGAACTGTAATGTTTGAATCAATCAGCCGTTAGGTGCTGTCTTCATAATAAAGGTTGGCTGCAGTGGATCTTCAACACCCTGTCTCATGTCTTGGTTGTACACTCCCTCAGACTGCTGTTCTTCCGTCTTTTGATGTTTTCCTCCCACTTGAATCATTGTCTACCTCTTGCCCTCTTGCTGTTGACCTTTCCCTCCAGTATGGTTTTTAAAAGAGTATTTATTGTGTCTTCTAATGTGACCAAAATATTTAAGTTGCCTTTTTGTGTTTTTCTCCCTCCTTTTTTTGTGTGTTCTTTCCTAAATTCTGTTTTAATTCACAGTCTATCCTCTGTATTTGATTGTTTTTATCTCTATGACATACAATCTATTTTTCTGTGTATTCACATTTCCTGATATTTAATTTGAATTTTCTAGTTGCCTGTTTATTGTCCATGTTTTTGTACCATATATATGCATAATATGTGTATAGATATACATAAAAATGTACTTAACATTTGATTATTCTCATTTGTAATGTGTTGTTTAATGGTGCTCACTGCTGATGCTCTAATTTTATTTTGCAAATATATGACTCTGAATTTATTTTTTTATTCAGGAGTGACAATAACCCGTATTGATGAGGGCAGCTTTCAGATATTTGCTCCCAACATTGATGCTATGGGAGAAGCAAAAGAGATGATTGAGAAAATTCTAGAGGACCAGGTAGGCACTCTAGATAAATTTATCTCTTTTGCTAAGAGACTGTTGAGAGGAACAGATTTGCATAAATGATAAAAAAATGACATTCAGCTGCCATTTCTGTCTATATGTACCAATTTTGCAATGTACGCATGGGGATCTTTAAGCCTGAAGATTTAGGGTCACATGGCTAGTGCTGTTGCCATGGACTGCAGGTTAGGATTTTATTTTTTGCTACTGAAAGGAACATAATTTTGACATTCAAAATCTTCTTTTAGAGAAACTGTTCAAATTGCACACAAGAATACTTTAGGGTTCAACCAGTCAGTACACGGTTCTTTAGCATCTGGGTCATTTAGTTGTTAGGGGTATTGGCATTCCCATAAACTAATTTTTAAAAACTGAAAATCAGATATCTTTGCGTTTTTTGTTTGTTAAACATTATGTAATTTATCACATTGATATTCTTCACTGCAACAGTTATGTTGTTATTTTGTTTTGATCTTCAACTATGCACTTCTTGTCCATGCCATGTAGTGTTGGTCATCATCATGACTGATCACAGAATCTCATGACTGAGCATAATTTTCTGTGCAGGTGTACTCAGTTGGGTTATAATTTCTGCTAGGTATGTAGTGGTGGCCATTGTGTCTGTAGTGGCATCCTCTGCCTGGTTCTCATGGTTACTAATTTCTTATATGATTTGTTGTGAGCGACCATCTCCGTCACTGGTAACATAGAGTGTAAATGAGTATGTGTTGTATGAGATGTTTTTTGTGCTGATCGAGATTGTCTTTGACTGTGAGAAAGGGAGCTAGCTGTTCAAATACTTGGTTCGCGTTACTGCATCTGATGTGAATTTCTTCATTCAAATTCCCATCTTTAGTTAATGTTGTTACTAGATATTTAAATTCAGATGCCTGTTTAATGTCTTTGTGCTCTACTGCTATATTCAGGTTCTGCTTATTTCTTCCTACTGCCATTGCTTCTGTCTTTTCAGTTTTGATTCTCATGTTGTTTGTTTTATATTCTTAATTCATAAATGATTAGATCTTGTAATTTCATGTCTGAATCTGCTACCAAAGACTGGTCATCAGCAAGGAGTAACTCACCGATCATAATATTTTTGATCCATGGCTTGGCATCCTTACACATACTGTCCAGTGTAGGTGGGTGATAAACAGCAGTGATCATAAGACATATCCCTGTCTTACTCCAGTTGTTACTGTGAATGGTTTTGATATTCCATTATTAACCCTCACACACATAATGTCATATTTATGCTACTTTAACCTTTTAAACATGGGTGACCCCTGAAAAAAATGTCATTATGTGATTGTTCATTGTCTTTTACTGTGTTGCTTTCAGAGAGAGCCCGATCTTGAGTTTGGAAGTATATACACAGGCAGAATAGTGGAGATAAGGTTTGTGTAAATGTTTGTGCATACTTGTCTAAGACTTATTTTTTTTTTTTATATATAATGTTTTTTTTCATTTAACTAATTTAGTTGTAAGAAGAGATATTAACTTACACAGTGGTTTTGTTTATTTCTCTAATTTGTGACATCACCAGTAACTCAGGCAAAGCCAATAGTTGAACACTGACACCCCCATGTGGGTTCTGGTGCCCTGTTATGAGGACAACAAGAATAGAGCCACTGCCTTCCCCACAAGCATTTCGTACAAGCTGAATAATTAGGAGCTTCCTTCGAAGTCGGGAGTGCATCTGCCCGAGCGGGAAGGAAAAACCAGCTGCACACAAATAAATAAATAAAATGGATGTACACGCAAAACTCAGGCCCTGGAACAAAGCCAAAGTTCAAGTGGGCGAACAACCAGGACTTTCCTACAAGAGCTTACAGCCAGTGAACAAAGAAGAATAAGAATAGCACTTGAGGATATATCTTAAAAGTAAAGACAATTCATCATTGACAGGTTAGCACCATTAGCAATCAAGTAATCATCAGGTAATCGTAATTTCAACTTCATAGCAAGCAGGTGGCCCCATAGTTGCTCAGTTCCTGTGCCAGGAAAAACCACACAGAATGTCCATTACTGACCGTTGTGGAAAAATTGACACAGATTGCAGTCTCAGCAAGTTTGATAGGATACACATACATTAAATGCATCAGGCAGCCACCAGAAGTGCCACTACACACTGTCCGATAATAGAAATGCAGTTCATCATCGATGAAAGCAGCAGTTACAACAGATCATTAGTTGCAAATGTGATTAATCATGAAACGCACCACTAGTTCTGTGGCAATAGGCCACTTTCATTTTCCAAATCTACAGTAGCTGGGTGGTGAAACTATATCCCTTCATGAAACTATGTCCTTTCATGAAACTATATCCTTTCATAAAACTATATCCTTTCTATATATTAAAGATAATACAACAGCTAACTATTGTCAAAGCAAAAACATATCATGACTAAAAACAATAAACATGCCTACCCTTCATATTGACTAGAAGTCTAGTCATTTGTATCTTCAAAAGAGCAAACTGAAAGACTATCTTTCACTTAATTTGTTCTCCCCGTCCAGCCTGTTTTGTAAACTCTTTCGGTACCATACAGTTGTTACTTTTCCTACTCCTGTCCCAAGGAGATGAGCTTTGGTCAATAAATAATGTGGATCTGAAGGAGTTCAACAGAGACACTACTGAGAACTGATAATGAAATTAAGAATTCTTATATAGGGGATTAATATAACATCTTTCTATGTCTGAGAAGGGCTGCAGAAGTGACCAGAAAGTACATACAGAGACAGCAAATCAAATGTTTGCCCACTTAGAGCGAATTGCTTACAAGGCATAAACTAGAAGAGGAAATGGACGAAAATCGTGAGGTAGACAGAGAACAAAATGGAAAGATAACATCAGAGAAACTCTGCAACAGCCTGATGTGTCTATGGTTGAGGTGGCCAGAAAAACAAGAAGCAGAACCTTATGTCTCCCTCAACACCTGAAACTATTAGAGAGGAAGTGAAAAATAAGTAGAAGAAATCATTTTTCTACAGCGACATGATGTTATCTTTGGAATAGCCAAGAAATGTACAGTGAGTTGTTTGGCATTGAAAGGGTTTTAATTGACAGTTTATCGTGTTTTTATTTTTTATTGAATGCTGCTGTAAATTTCCCATCAGTTGAGTTGGATTTGGTCTTATGGCCATTTTCTTCATGACATAACAGGAAAAGAGTGAGGTGGGAAATAATCAGAAGTTGAATCTCACCAATTCTGGGGATTGCACCTCTTGACTACGGTTGAATAGCAAACTTATGAAGCACTATTCTAACACTGCTTCCTGTTTTACAATTTGTGGTTTGTGTGAATGTAAAAATAAAAAATAAAAAGTGGCGCCGTGGCAAAGTTAATTAGTTTGATTTATGCTCCAAAAGTCATCAGCTTGTTTTGGATAACTTGTTTGGTTATGAGAGTAATTTACTCTGGCAATCCTGAGAGTCGTAGTGGAGCTTTAAAATTCATGGTGTGTGTGAGTGGCATTCTTGGCAGGTGGCTAAATACCATATAAAGAAAGTCAGAATCAGGTGAGTTCATACCAAGTGCATTGAAGATGACGCTCTCACATTTAATTGCATTTATTAATGTAAGAGGACAATAATGTGTGAGTAACACAAGTTCCTTGTTAACACACTTTTCTACAGGGACACTGGGGTCATGGTCGAGCTTCACCCCAAGCTGCGGCCCATTCTGTTGCACAATTCACAGCTTGACCAGAGAAAGGTGAGAGATACTTGTGGGCTTTTGAGATATTTAGTTGGAAAGATCTGGCTATGAAACCATGTCATTAGAATCTCAAGTGTGACCATTTATTTGGAAAGATCTCATTATTGACCTTAATTAGTTGATTAGTTAGTTGGGCTATCATCATTGCACTCCAGATATGTCCATATGTTCTCCGATCCTTCCTTCAGCATCCGGTGGCTAATAGTATCAGTTCTATGTTGATTAACAAGTCCTCTGATGTGCCTGGTGTGCATCTCATTTTTTGCTATGTCGATCTTAACTATGTCATTCTGGCGAGTGATGTAGATTCACAGCCCCCAAAGTCCTCCTCTCTTTCCATTTCTCGGAGGGCATTAATAATATTAGCATGATCCATAGGTTGACTGTCAGTAGTGATAGTGGATCCAGCCAACCTATCAGCTCATTATTGACCTGTCATTAGAAAATTAGGTGTTTGCAAGTTTTAGCACTGTAAGATTATTGGTGCCTTTCTTCCATCCTATGACTACATATTTGGTTGAATGGATACCTTGAATTGAGATCTTATCATGCTTGCTGTCTTCAGCAAAACCTTAAATAAACAAAGTCACAGCTTACCCAATCTTTCATTTTATCAGTTGAGAATTTTGTTTATCTGCCTGTTCATGATTTTCTTATAATCTCTCACTGTCCTCAATCCTCTTTTGGTTTTCCCATGCATTTTGTCCCATCCGCTTTCCTGTTGTCACTAGCCTTCCAATAGTCAGGGGAATAAAGGGAACATTAAAGGGATCTTTTTTCACACCATATGATGTATTGGTTATTTGAGTCTAGCCACATATTTGTTTTTATCAGATATCATTCTGCGGGTGTCACTGCGGATTCATGTGTCACTTTTACTTCCCAGGATCTTGTGCAGTTTCTGGGGTCCCATTGTAGGTGGGGAAAATTTATACCCAGTTCCCTCTTCCCTAATGAGCATGTCGTAGAAGTTAACTCAGAGTGTCAGAGTGACTCTGCCTGAAAGACAAGGAACCAGCAGACTGCATACAGATAAGCCAGATCTGTAAAACGGATGTGCAACTCTAACTGTCAACACATAATTTAAGTTCTGGAACAAGACTGAAGTCCAGAAAAGGACAGACAGCCAGAACTTTACGCCGCAGTTGACAGCCTGTAAGCTCTAAGAAGACTTCCCAGGAAAGTTTGTGACACTGTGTGGACTGCAGCACCTTTTGTCAAATGGGTAACATAAATGCCTTTGGGAAAGGGAAAGTGCACTGATCACTAAACAACCATAATGCCTTGATCTTGTATGTAAATAATGTACTTACTATATATGCCCATTCCTATGTTAGCATCTCTTATGTGTGACCTTTATGGCTGCGTTTCTCCAAAAAGAAAATTAGCAACAATATTGAATGAGTCAATCGGGAGGGCTAACCTGGTCTACAAATACCTGAAGAAGTCGGATGTGTTGGCCAAAAGGCGGAAACATCTCAGCCGTGCTGTAAATGGGCACAACACAGTTACATCTTCGGATGACCACAGAAGAAGATAGAATGAGTCATAAAAAATGGGGTGATCACAATTAAATATTGTTTTCTACATTTACACTTCAGTGATATGAAGAATGAATTGCTTATTCTTATGATTTTTTAAAGAAATAGCTTAGAGTGTTAATGGTGTTCCTGTGTGAATTGCTGTATATTTCTGATATTTCTATGCTGCATTGTGGCCAAATATCGATGTATACTAAAACTTCAAAATAATCAGTTTTGTTTCTCTCCTCAGGTTTCTCACGCGACTTCACTCGGCATGGAAGTGGGCCAGGAAATTACAGTTAAATATTTTGGTCGTGATCCTTCGACAGGAAACCATCGCATTTCTCGCAAAGTTTTGCAAAGTGCTACAGTGCCTCTCATACGGAACCTCACCAGTTAAGTGGAGGAAGCTTGATGGGGTGCCAGATTCTGCCCTGGTGTGTGTTGCTGAAATTTAAGTGTGGGTGAATCACTGAGTGGTTGTGTGCCAGAGTTTTTGTCCTCACAAGCCGCAAAACCGACACTTTCCATTAGGTCTAATTTCCGATCAGTGTCACTTCTCATGTGTTGAGAGCTGCAGAGATCTGATGTTATAGAAGAAGGGGAGAAACTCCTAGAACACATAACAAGTTTAATGAAAATATCTTGGGTTCTAATTTAAAAGCCTGATGGCATTACATGTCGTGCTATTTACATTTGTTTTTTTTAAACGCTGCAGTGATGTGGTAGATTAAGTTGTGGGTTCAGTCCCCAATGATGGCTGAGATAATTTCCCTCCAACCAATACAGTCATGAAGGGTCAGTCAACGCAGATGTGTAGGAAATTAAAAGTAGCAGACATAATTCCTGTCCTGATTTTTCTTTCTCAGTAAAGCATAGACTTCATTCAGTTCACGTCAGATCCCTTGCAGACACAAAGAGTGGCTGATGTTTGCAGCTAAATTTTTGTAAACAGGTAATCACAGTTCCAACTTATAGGAAGCAAGTCAATCCAAAGCTGCTACGTTTGTGTGCCAGTGAAAACCACACAGACTGACCATCACTGTCCCTTATGAAAAAAAACGGACACAGACTGCAGTCTCAGCAAATCCGACAGCATATAAATGCATTAAATGAAAAAGACAGCAGTCAGAAGTGCCAGCACAAATAGTCTGACACCAGAAAATCAGTTCTTCATTGATGGAAACAGCAGTGTTCTGATGGACACTTTAATTGCCTCTCACCTCTTTCAGTATCAGTCTGTGATTAATTTAACTCCACCAAATTTTACACCGGTTACTAATAAAGTTGAGGACACTTTTCCACGCCTTCAAGCATATTGGGTATATAGGGCTAGACCTATATTTTGTAAACCAAACTGCACTTGATGGGTGATGTAGTCAGCATCACGCCGGCCACCTTTACTTCACCGGACTGTACCTGGTACCCACTCAAGGCTGGGTCCAAGGTCATTTTTGAAAAAGTTTGGGGTCCTGTCAGGACCCAAACCCACAAGCTTGCGATCTGCAGGCAAACATCTAGCCGCTAGAACAGGTTACTAATACGTTTTTACAAGAAATGTGTTTATCTGCATGTTAATTTTGTTTCTCCAGATGTATTGGGTGACTCGTGTGTTGACCTTGGTACCTCTATCACTAAGGCTTTCAGGAAAATTTGACATTAGCTTGGCTTTTAAAAAAAAGTCAGTGTGGGGCTGTAGAATTCTTCCCCCCCCCCCCCCCCCCCCCCCCCCCCCCCATCCTTTAATCCCAGTGCTATTTTTAATTACCATATTCAAATTCTGGCTTATTAAACACAGCACACAGAGCCAATGGAATTCAAATATACTATTTTATAACAAGTCAGTGCAGACAGATCGATACTGGCATTTACGGGACTTTGTCACAACCGGAAATAACTAGATTTAGACTTCTCGGAGTGACAGGGTTGAAGTAGCCATTGTTTGTGTCAAAAACAGTTTTACATTAAAAACACTAGGGTAGAATGAGAAAAACAGTTTGGTTATTACGATTTAATGTAACAAATGACTTCAATAGAAGAAAGTAAGAAATATGTTTTTTTTTTTTTTTTTACTGTCCAATGAACGCATGAGTTGCTTGGTACCAAAATAGTGAAGTTGCAGGTTGCAGTACATCTTATCCACGACTTACAACTGTGTGATTTACAACCATCCACACTTAGGACCCAAAAAAAAAAAAAATTTGTAAGTAAAGAAAGATAACTACATTGTAAGTTCAACAAACTTCCCAAAGCTTTTATAGTAGAGTACGCCCGTCTCTCTAGCGTAGTTGGCTAAACCGGATTGCGCGGTGAGCGGGAAGACGAACTCCTTGTGGTCCGGGTTCACTCCCGGGGGTGGGCAGGAAAGCCACATTTTCTCCCAGATTTGCGGTATTTACAATGGAATCGAGGCCGAAAGGTTGCGATATCCATAATACCGAGCCTAAGGGTTAACAACTCATAGCTTCTGGATACTAAAACAAACATAGTAGAGTACATATTATGTATTTTCCACATTATGTACAATAATTATGTGCAAATTGATTCAAGTTTTACGTTTTGTGTTCAATATCAAATTAGTGTTGAAAATATAAATTTTATTGAACAAGTTTGACATATGAACTGTTAGTCAGAACAGAACTTGGTTTAAGTGGAGGAGATCCAGTTTTACTATTCTTTGCTTCGCTTGTGGGTACTGGTGACACACTGGCAAGCCAGAATAATATGATGTGTCCTTTCTGTGGTGTGATCATGGGAAATATAGTCATAATTATAACTGACTCACAGAGTAGCTTTAGAGGCCATGGGTAGTCCAAAGGATATTTTTTCCAGGTCATGCTGGGAGTTGCAAAATGAATAGACTGATAGACTGGCTGGTTCTGACCAACTTGATGGTGAATTGATGCTTGACAAGCCCTTTGGCAGCGAGTGAACAGTGCGGAGGCACAAATAGATTATCATGGTCTGAGGAGAATGGTACTGCGAGAAGTGACCAGGAAATCTGGTCAGCGCTCAGCACTCAAGGGAAATGCCAGATGTAAGTAACAGTCAAACTGTTACTGGTGCGATCGGAACTGGAAATGTGTACTTGCTGCTGAAGATGGGGATGATTCATAATTTAACCTCCATCAGTAATAAACATTTTTATGTTGAATAAGTAAGAGAGTGTGATTAGTCTGATTTCACTGTCTTGATACTGGCTATCTTCTGACTTCTTTTTATTTGATAGAAGCACATGCAACAAAAATAAAGCATGCATTTATGTATCGTGATGCCTTTAAATGTATTGGGCATATAGGGCTAAACCTATATTTTATAGACCAATCGGCACTTGGTGGGTGATGTTGTCAATATACGGCAGCCGCCTTTACTTCTCAGGTCTATACCTGGTACCCACTCAAGGCTGGGTCCATCTGAGAACCAAGGTTTTTTTTTAAAGTCTGACTCTGTCAGGACCTGAACTAACAATCTTTTGATCCACAGGCAAACACTTAGCGACTACACCATGATGGCTGTTTGGATAATTGCTTTAATTTACCCCCCCCCCCCCCCCCCCCCCCCCCCCCTTACCCAAAAAAAACCCTAAACAACAAAGTCTCAGCATGTATATGATGTAATGATTATACTTATGGAAAAGTTCCTCCGATTTTATATGTTTTAATGGTGCTGTTAAATACTTTGCAACAGTATGTTTGTTACAGAAATAAATAAATGCTATGTTTCATATGTGTCATCTTCTCATTTATATGTGTTTAAATGTACTGTTATGTTGGTATCACAGATTTCCAATGTACAACTTGCATAGTCACATTATTTACATTAATATAGCTGACAGAGTAGATAGAAATATATTGGGGGATTTCCGAAACAAATATGAAATAAACAAACATCTCTTCGAAGCTTGCAAGTGTTTATACATCAGTGTCATAGTCCCTTCAGGATGCTGACAGCAAAATACAAAATATGCTCGTTTCATGGGGCACACACAAAATGTGCACATATCACAGGGATAAAATATACACATATCACAGGGTACACACAAAATATACATGTGTCACAGGGTCCACACAAAATACACAAGTATCACGGGGTAACACACAATTTTTAAGTATCACAAGGTGCACACAAGCATGTCAAGTTCATGTGGCTATGAAAATGAGCTCAAGCTATGAACAAACTCAAAGTCAGTCATCAGTGACATGTCCAAGTGGACAGATGTATGCTTTACAGGTGTCCAGGTGGGTGGACGTTTGCTTTACAGGTCTCCAAGTGGGTGGACATATGCTTCACTGGCGTCCAAGTGACGGACATGTGCCTCAGAGGAGTTCGAATGGGCTGACGACAAATGCCTCAATCTAGATAGCTATAATATGGCTATGCTCCTCTGGTAGTAATCTAGCTGTAATAAAATAATCTTAAATTATGTGCCTTCTCTACAATGAAGGCTGGCTACAGTATACCATTTCTGTCTTTGCAAATATTACATGGTGAAGCCCCAGACTTTTTTAATATCTCTATATATTGTCTTTCTTTGCTTAATCATTAATGTTGTTAGGTTCACAGGCACGGATAATGATGTTTCCGGGATATTATGCCTTTGTTAGCTTGATGTATTGTGTTGAGTTGTTGAGTTTCAGCAAGTTAACTCCATCATCTTGACTCAACTCTGCCTCTTGATTTTTCCATTCTCATGTTGTATGCTCTTGCAACCAGTGACGTAGGTTCATTCTGACAAGGGTGCCAAAAAATTTCAGACTTTGTTCAATAAATCTAATGATAGGCGTCATTTCCACCATTCTTATGATATATTCATTTCTATTATGGTCCCTTCTTGCTAATTGTTTTTCTCAAATATTTTCACATGTTGTTTTTAATGCCCAGGTTTGGCATTGGCAACACAAAGTAGGTGAAAAGATTGCACTTAAGATTTATCTTTTAGTTTCCATTGGTATGGCTGGGTTTTTCAGTTTTGGGGAAAGTTCACAGGTAACACTGTTGGATTCTGGACTCGATCTCCCTGCCCAGTCTGTCGCCTGATGTAAAGATGCTTCGATGATATTCCAAGCAAAAACTTTTTTTAAATGTCCAAAAACCACAAAATCGGTTTTTGTGTGTGAGTGCTTGTACACATGGCTGATTCGCCAAACTTAAATGTTCTATACATATGGCTGCGCAGTCGACTGTGTCCTGTTCTAAGGCATAGAATAATGACTTGCTCTGGTCTGTCCATTATATGGTAATCGTCTTTTGCAGGTTTTGATGGCTTTCTGATTGATTTGATTATTCTCTTCTGTTGATAAGAGACTGGTACGTCAGTTTTTAAACTCAACATAGTAATGGTTTAAACTTAACATAGTAATGGTTCCACCTATAGTTATTTTGACTTGTTTTAGACAGGTT